CGTGGACGATGCTTAACACCATGGAGATCCTTGACACAATCTGCCACCCCCTTTGTGTTCTCGTAAAACGCAACTGCTGGACACGTCACCTCGATACCTCTCTTGACACCCAAGCGATATGTTGAACCAGAAGACCCATCATGGTCAGTGTAGCAATTGGCCCACTTGGCTGAGTTTGTGTTCTCATAGCTGATGTTTTTGCACGAGGGTCCAACGAAGTAAGCATCAATGTCCAGAGCAACATTGTGTTTCTTGTTGCAGGTGTAGCAAAAGCCAACCAATTTTTCTAGAACTTCAACATCGTCAAACAAGCAAAACTCTGGCTGTTCTCCAGGAACTGTGTGTGCAGATTTGATGAATTCCCTTTTGAACTCCTCAATCTCGATAGATAGTACGTGACGCACCTTGACATTTACCTGGGATTGGCATGGATTGGCAGCAATATTCTATCTGTTGAATTTGGTGCATATTTCAAATATAATATATATATATATATATCATGTATGTTGCAAGCAAAGCTTGCTTGCCAGCTTTGCTGGCATATACATACAAAACCTATATATATATAGTATACGTAGCAAAAAGCACATGTTTGAGATAAGGAACTCCAAAGTACTCTGATAGAGCTGCAAATGTTGCCTTGGTGACACTGACTGCGATGTCGGTTCCAGAGCAGGCTGTGCCAACCTTGATCTCACAACCATCCAGTATCTTCATAGTTTTTTCTAGCCGTGCAAGATCTTCTTCTGATAGTAGGTGCAAAAAGTACAAAGCAGTTTCTTTCAGATCCAAGCCAGGTAAATTTTGTGCATCATTCCATGATTTCAGTCGTTTGAGATCGATGTCAAAGGAGCGAGCATTCATTCGCCCTTGTATCTTGTAGGGATTGTCGAAATGATGTACACACTCAACATCCCATACAAACAACGGTTTCTCATCATTCAGCAACCTGTTTTTCCATGCTTGCCTCAGTTCTCGGGATGCATTTTTGAACCACTCTAGCCCTCTTAGCTCTGCAAAGTTTGAGATGCGTTTTTGACCATACACTTCAGCCTTCCCCACCACAGCTGCTGAGTTGCCATTGGCGATGTACACCTCCCCCAAGAGCTTTTTGTTGGACCACTGCATGATAACTTGCTGTTTTGTTTTCTTTGCAAAAATTCTTTCAACATCAACCCCTGCCATCCTGAGAACAGAAACCATGTGTGCACCATCATCACGTTCTTGTGCTGGTTGTGGTGGTTGTGCTGGTCCTGCTGCTGCTGCTGCTTCTGCAAGATGATCTTTGCCTTTGGTACTACCATTAGCACCCATGCAGTCAGAGCGCACTAGGCCTGAGGTTGACTCACTCACACTGTTGCTATCGATGTTATCGTTTGATGTTGATTTTTGCGCTGAAGATTGTAAGCGGTCATCTTCATCTGACTCTGATGATCCTGATTCCCAATCCCACTCAAAATGAGGATGCTGCGACTTGAAATTTTTTATCCTTTCAACAATGCCTTTCACTTTTGTGTACTCATTCCCGTTTTCATCTTCATCATCATCCCCAGACTCTTGAGATGAAAATCCTCCTTGATGTTCTGGTTGATCACCTCGTTGAAGATCACCGGCTGGATGCTGCTGAGCTTTCTCTGCAACTGTTTGACCTCCTTGATGTTCTGGTTGATCACCTCGTTGAAGATCACTGGCTGGATGCTGCTGAGCTTGCTCTGCAACTGTTTGACCTCCTTGATGTTCTGGTTGATCACCTCGTTGAAGATCACCGGCTGGTGGCTGCTGAGCTTTCTCTGCAACTGTTTGACCTCCTTGATGTTCTGGTTGATCACCTCGTTGAAGATCACCCCCTGGATGTTGCTCAACTGCTTCTGCAACTGGCTGACCTCCTTGATGTGCTGGTTGATCACCTCGTTGAAGATCACCGGCTGGATGCTGCTGAGCTTGCTCTGCAACTGTTTGACCTCCTTGATGTGCTGGTTGATCACCTTGTTGAAGATCACCGGTTGGATGCTGAGCTTGCTCTGCAACTGTTTGACCTCCTTGATGTTCTGGTTGATCACCTCGTTGAAGATCACCGGCTGGATGCTGCTGAGCTTGCTCTGCAACTGTTTGACCTCCTTGAAGTTCTGGTTGATCACCTCGTTGAAGATCACCGGCTGGTGGCTGCTGAGCTTTCTCTGCAACTGTTTGACCTCCTTGATGTGCTGGTTGAGCACCTTGTTGAAGATCACCCCCTGGATGTTGCTCAACTGCTTCTGCAACTGTTTGACCTCCTTGATGTTCTGGTTGATCTCCTCGTTGAAGATCACCGGTGTGATGCTGCTCAACTGCTTCTGCAGCTGGCTGACCTCCTTGATGTGCTGGTTGATCACCTCGTTGAAGATCACCGGTTGGATGCTGCTGAGCTTTCTCTGCAACTGTTTGAACTCCTTGATGTTCTGGTTGATCACCTCGTTGAAGATCACCCCCTGGATGTTGCTCAACTGCTTCTGCAACTGGCTGACCTCCTTGATGTGCTGGTTGATCACCTCGTTGAAGATCACCGGCTGGAGGCTGCTGAGCTTGCTCTGCAACTGTTTGACCTCCTTGATGTGCTGGTTGATCACTTTGTTGAAGATCACCGGTTGGATGCTGAGCTTGCTCTGCAACTGTTTGACCTCCTTGATGTGCTGGTTGATCACCTTGTTGAAGATCACCGGTTGGATGCTGAGCTTGCTCTGCAACTGTTTGACCTCCTTGATGTGCTGGTTGATCACCTTGTTGAAGATCACCGGTTGGATGCTGAGCTTGCTCTGCAACTGTTTGACCTCCTTGATGTGCTGGTTGATCACCTTGTTGAAGATCACCGGTTGGATGCTGAGCTTGCTCTGCAACTGGTTGACCTCCTTGATGTTCTGGCTGATCACCTCGTTGAAGATCACTGGTTGGATGCTGAGCTTGCTCTGCAACTGGTTGACCTCCTTGATGTTCTGGCTGATCACCTCGTTGAAGATCACTGGTTGGATGTTGCTGGGATTCATTTTCACTTGGTGTATCACTGGGTGGTGGAAGTGGTGGTAATGGCTTGCTTGAACCCGACCATGTTGCGAAGAATGCGTTGATATTCTCTCGTGTGGTATGCCTCTCTTGAGGCATTTTGTCGACGATCACAATCTTTTTGATTTTTTTTCCTTTGTTTTTCTCTGTCAAGCTGCTTGAGGAACCAGCAGGTTTCACTGCTTCTGCTTGTGCTACTTCTTTCTCAGCCGGCACAAGGAAGTTAAAGTGACCATAGGGAATGCCAGTCTCTGGATTTGCTTGGTAGAGGAAGATCAAGTGGACCTTGTACTCACTGGTGTTTTTGCTAATGCCATAGATGGAGTCCTTCTCAGGAGGTGTTGGCATTGAAGCAGCATACGTTTCATATGCCTCCCATGGTTATCAAGTGGAAACATGTGCATGTATGTATATATAGACTTTTAAGGTATACGAGTGAATGCAATATTCTATCTGTTGATAATTGCCATAGCCCACATACAAACTGTTCAAATTCAAACATCAGTTTGTTTCACTACATATATATATATATTTTGTACAACCATACTTAAATATATAAATATATGTGTATATATATATATATGTCCTGCTCGCCAGCAATGCTGGCATGCAGCTGACTAGTAAATTTATATATATATATATATATATGTTGCTTGCTTCCCAGCAATGCTGGCATGCAGCTGAACACACACACATATATATATATATGTATACATGCTCGCCACCCAAGAAAAACAGCACCACCTGCACCATTTTCTCATCACGCACTTCTCATCGCGGTTGCTAGCATGTGCCACTGCGCTGGTCCCAGTCTTTGCCGAAAAAAAACTGATGTAACAAACTAATGCACAATTTGATATATATATATATGTGTACATGATTGGTTACTTGTAAGTATTGGCACACTGGTACACATATACATGTTTTGTGGCAAATCGGTAGCCCAATCTTCATCTCAAAACTTAGTAGCATGTCAGCCTCAGCATGGTGGATTTAACCTGCTGTGCAATCGCTGCATGGGGTCAACATTTTTGTTGGTCGACCAATAATATGTCCACAGCGTGCATTATGCCAGCGTTCACCACATTTCGTCACATATACTGTTCCAACACCATGGTTGCTACCATAGGGTTCAGTAGTTTGCGTCGATGCATGATTTTTTTCCACCATATATTCACTTCCACGTTCATTGTGCACATGGTTGGCCACCATATATCCACTTCCACGTTGATTGTGCACATGGTTAGCATCTCCATGTTGGATCACAAATCGATGATAGCATGTCATCAACAGCTTCCACACGATGTTCACCGAGATACTTGCAGCAAGAACCATTGCTGATATGAACCATGCAAACATTGAATAATCATCAGGTCCCTCTCCATGAGTAGCAAGAGAGCTGTTTGCCATTGCACCAAGAGCACTCTATTCTTTAAATACCAAGTTGCAAAAGGTTTTGCACCTCTATCAACACTCTTTGTGTTTGGATATTTGAGCCCATATGGTCATCGGAATGTAGGGTTTCACCTGGGTGCCATATCGTACACAGAAATATTATATCTGTTGGTTTTGCTTATTTCCCAAATGTTGCCAATAGATGAAAGCAAGTTTGAACACTATATATATATATATGTCCATCAGAACCATAACAAATCCAAATCATAAAGCGTTATGTTTTCTTTGTGTATATATATATATGCTTGTTGAACGTATAGAAAACACCTAAAGTTTTACGATATATGACTGTATGGTTTAATATTATATGTATATATGTTGGTATCGCCTACCTTGGGGAATATTCTATCTGTTGAATTTTGGACTCCTGTAAACAAAGTTTTTATAATATATATATATGTATTTATTTAAAGGAAAAGCCGCTGCCCACCCACCGGATCCACATAGATTCATAGATGTGCCTCATCAGAAATAGTGCACCGGATGTTCATCATCAGTGCATTCGCAACCCAGTCCAGGTCAGCAATGTCAACGGAACCGTGTTTGCGTATCTCCTCAACCTTGTCAATGTCAACCCCTTGTTCACATGCTTTTTCCATAGTCATGTTCATCAAAGCACGTGCTTTGTCTTCTTCATTTTTGACAATCCTTGCGTTTGCTGCGTAACCACTTTCCTTCCGTGGAACAGTACTCCACGCTTCAAAGTCCAGTGATCCTAAAACACTGTGCCACAAGCAATAGCCATCAGCAGGTGCACATTGCTGTTCTAGGCTGGTTTTTTCAGAGCATTTCATTTTCTTCATCTTGTGTCCAAGCTTTTCTTTTACAGAACTTTGGAGATATGCTGACACGGTCTCATCCATTGTGCATGCAATAGTTTTTGACAAGGCTTGGAAGTCCACTACCCGATATTTTTCATCTTTTTTCCTTCCTGATTGTTCTTTTGGTCCACTGCGCCTAGTGTATTCGATCTCATCTTCTTCTGATATCGATACATCCCATACCATAGGATCAAGTCCACCACACATAGTGACGAGAACCAGTGTCTTGAAAGGTGATTTCAAAGCTTGCATTCTTTTTCCAAACTGGTCGATAGGAGAATCATAGTCGGTGACCCAAACCACAAGCCCCATTGGTTGGATATCGAAGTTGGCCCATCTCTGTTTCAGCGAATCTGATAAGATGCATGAGTCAAAGTCAGTGCATACAACAACATCCAGTACAGACTTCCCATCACCGGCCATGATGCCACAAAGCTTACCACCATGATCGTTACGGCCCCATGAGATGAGATTCGCAATGATACCCTTGTAGATGCAAATGCTGCTTGGAACAAATTTTGGTTCAGGTTGCTTTGCAAATAGTTGGTGGGTCACGTCTACGAGTTTCATCTCTGAGTCATCTGGTAGTACCTGTTTCTCCATAGCTTCCATGAAAGTGGCCTCACTCTCCTTTGAAATGCTGTCGATAGCTTTCTCTGTGTTGACAAATGACTTGCCTGCTTTCTCTGCAGTCTGCATGGATTTTGCTAGAACACCGGCCTGCAAGGCAGGTAGTGTATACTGTATGTGTCTAAACGGTTGGTAAAATAGACTAATCTCAATTCCACGTCTATACGTCAAACATCTTCCTGTGATAAAAAGTGTTGGCAACACTTTACTGTTGATATATACATATATGTAGCTTGTAATATTCTATCTGTTGAATTCCCCTCACAAAACAACATTCTTGAATGAAACTATTAACCATCATTGTGTTTTGTAACCCAACCAGCTGGCCTCTGAACTCTTGCCCATGTTCAGCAACCAGTTTCTAGCATCATTGAGTTTCTCAAACACTTTGATCACATTCTCATTGTCACCACTTAGCACAGCCTTGAACTTCGCTAAATCATCATCATAGGTCAAAGAGAGTGCTTCCTTTTTTGCTAGATCAGGCATAGCTCGAACTGCAACCTGCATCATAGAAGCTTCAAACCATGGAACGTGTCGACCAACTAGTTGTGCTAATAGGAATCCTTTCTGAGCGCTCAGTGATTTATGCATTTGAATTGCATCATCACCAAAATTGTCTTTGATCCACTGCTTTCTCTCTACGGGTTTTCGACCCAGCATGTCGAAGCCAAGCATCAGTTTCTTTCCCTGTGTCAGAAAGTGTTTGGCTGCTTCTACGGTTTGAGTCTTGCCCCCATAATCAGAGTACTCCAACTTTCTCTTGGTTGACTCCAATGATACAGTGCAATGCTTTGAGAACTCCTGCAAACCATGAAGGCTTGCCATGGCTACCCAGGGTGCACGTGCAAGTGCGTTGCGATATTATTCAATGCATGTGTTTTCTTCTTGTGGTTTGGTTTTCACCAACAGAAACAGCACCAATCGAATCTAGTATTCCTATATATATGTAACTTTGGTTTGGTGTTCAATGCAGAAACGAATTTGTAAAGTTGCTGGAACTGCGCTCATCGTGCATGCTGTGATCCACAATGACATGCATAAAACACAACATTATCCCATAGGTTCAAAACACACACACATATATATACATTAAACCAACAGATAGAATATTCCAACAGACCAATGATACCAGTGATATTCACGTTTTGATGAAACAATTCTTATGTGGTTTCATAGATAAAATATGGAGTTCAACGAGATCACCCAAATTCACTAATTCAAACGTTAAAAAATCATTCTTTGTTGGGTACAATAATCAGTAATCCATGGAGGATGCAGAAAACCTATATATATATACATGAAACCAACAGATAGAATATTCCAGTGATATTCACTTTTTGATGAAACAATTCTTATGTGGTTTCATAGATAAAATGTGAAGTTCAACGAGATCACCCAAATTCACTAATTGAAACGTTAAAAGTTCATTCTTTGTTGGATACAGTAATCAGTAATTCATGGAGGGTGCAGAAAACCTATATATATATATATATATACATGAAACCAACAGATAGAATATTCCAATAGACCAATGATACCAGTGATGATTCCTTCTTTGATGAATATATTGATATGAAATTGTTGATTTTGTTGATATTCATTCTTCATCGAATAAAATATACCATTGAAAATGCAGAAAACCATATATATATACACGGATCCAACAGATAGAATAGTTCAGAGATATATTTTCATAATTTATAAGCTCAAAATATCAACGATTTTGTGTATATATATATATACGCGAAATCAACTTTTTGCTACTCAGCTTAAACAGATAGAATATTCCCACCGGGGAACCAGGTTTCACCCGCAAATTTTTCGATCTCTGAACACTGGATAATATTCTATCTGCTAGTGCCTTAGTATATATATAAATAAACTCATACATATATATATATATAGTTATTTATTTATCAACTATAACTATTTGGGCTTGTCTGAAAATTGGGGACTTGCCTCCCCAAGTTATGGTGACATTAATGGGGAAATTGGTTTGTTAAACCATTGGATTTAAAGGTGCTCTATATTCAGTCAAACCCACGTCTATATAAGGGTAAATTGCATGGGTATGCCCAAAAAAACAGTATAAGATCAAACACACCCAATCACACCCACCATCATTCCAACAGTTCTGGCCATCGTTCTACCTGAACTCCTTGAATTATCCATAGACATATAGGAAGTGGCTAGACATTTTGGGCAGAACGGTATAACCCAATAGTAAACCTACTGTTTGGGAATGGTTTACATAATCCATTTATCATTATTTTGGGGATGGTCTACTATGGGTTCCCACATTATTTTACGACCCACTTACATACGAAGTAGGATGAACATGGATGAACCACCAGCTGTATCTGACTAGACCGATGGTTGAGCTGGAGGACTTGATGGGCTCAACTCCAACTCCGCCGTGCCTCTCCAATGACTGCTGGCCAATACACTTCAAAACATATCTGGTTGGTAGTTTCAACCCCTCTGAAAAATATTAGTCAGTTAGGATGATTATTCCCAATATATGGAAAAATAAAAATTGTTCCAAACCACCAACCAGATATTATATGTCTATATAATCCAATCTAGCACAGTATGAAAGCACTCGGTACACAAAAAAAAATAAACACAACATATCCAAGGTAGATGTGGGTGTAAATATATGCACATACAGCATCATACAGTATAATACATATAATGTGCGAACATTGCCAATTCACATATTGCAGTATCGTAATCACATACAGTGAAATTCACACTTGCACGTATAACTATCCAATACACATACTACATACCCTCCAGTAAACTAGCATGCTTTGGAAAATAACATGTTTTGGAAAATCACAATGCTTCATAAAGGTATATGAAAACTATAAATGACCATTTTCGCCAGAAACACATTTATAAAATACCAATATATACATCTAGCTACATAAATAGCACCTCGATTGACGCCACCACAGAGCACCTTGCCGGCGCAGCTGGAGCAAGCACCCGCGCGGCACGAATACGGCAAATCGACCTGGGAAGTTCCGTCGGAAAACTGGGCTTAGAAGCCCCAAGATATCCCCATGATCTCCCCATTAAATCCCATAATATCCAAAAAAACATACATCTATAGGTCCTTCTGAATTGTATCCGCATGAACATCTGCCCATATTTTCCCGAATTATATGCTGGTTGCTTGTCCCCATGATATTTGCATATCCCTCTGGCCCTCCGTATCTCCATTGGGTTAGATCCACGAAATCCATTCAAAACATGACACCAAACTGTTTGGATCCCAGCTCCTCTGCGAACTGGTTCTGTTTAACTTCTAGTGGTTCTCAAAAAAAAAACATTTTCTACAAAAAGGCGAAACGTCCAAGGGAAGAAATGGCTGGTTTCATGACCATGTATAATTAAGCCAGTGTTTTCAAACACTTTGGTATCACCAAATTAGCTTCGAACAATCATGAACAATCTGACTGGTTTCATCCCCATGTAAGGCAAAAAAAATCATGGTTCTAGTCTTAGTCGAATACTGAATCCAGATCTCTGCCAAAATCCATGATGTTTCCTATTGAAGTCATGTAAAAAGTGATTTCAAATCATGTCAAGTCCCCGTTTTTTGTCCAAGTGCCATTTCAGGAACCTAAATATGTTGGAGGTACCTACCATATCATCTTTGCTGAACATAATATAAATCATACCTTATAATGTGTATGTACAGTGTACATATATATATGGACATACACACCAATATATGTATATACACCCATATACACCAAAGATACATAGTTCAAAATCATATTAAGGACTATATTAATATAACCATGCATCTGTTACAAATGTAGTATATGGTCATCATATTTAAAAACAAAATACGGTAATATATATAATATACATATAAATACGACACTATACACATACCATCATATGTATATATATATATGTAACCATACATATGTATGTATGTAATGTAATGTAATGTAATGCAATGCAATGCAATGCAATGTAATGTAATGTAATGTCTGTATGTATGCATGCGTGTATGTATGTATGTATGCATGCATGCATGTATATATGTATGTATGTCTGTCTGTCTGTCTGTCTGTCTGTCTGTCTGTCTCCCTGTCTGTTTGTAAGTATGTATGTATGTATGCATGCATGCATGGATGTATGTAGATATAACCATATATATATACTGTAATAAGATACAGCTGGTTTAATCCTTGATAATCAAGTTATATGGTATTCACAATAAACAAAATGATAATATATATATATATATATGAATTTATTCACGATATTCACAATATTAATTAAGGCAATATTCAATTTATTAATGTGCGGCCCCCGTTTACGATAGCTCAGCTAAGTTGGTGAACATAACTCCAATTCCACTATGGTAGTAGTATGCTTATATTAATTGTATATGTACGTGTATATATATATATATATATATATATATCGATGTGATACTATACATAAAACGCCATATAACATTTAAAAAAATCAGATCATTTAACATCATATAACATCAAATAACATCAAATAGCATCATATAACACCAAATAACATGATATAACATCACAACCATATATATATATAATTATACACCTTAATTCAGGGCTGTTTTAAAAGAACTTATAACCCACCCTTGCGGCAAGGCACACCCAGCTCCGCGGCCTTGTCCAAGATGTACTCCTTGGCGTCAGCAAAGACTGCAAAAGAAAAACACGGAAAACCTTGGAGATGTCATATGGATGTGGGTCAAAACCCTGTACCCCCATGTGAACCTCAAGGTTGATGGTCATCCCTTATACCACATGATTAGTAGGTTTTGACCCATACCCCTATACACAATTATATGATATTATATCTATGATATTTTACATGTACAAATATATAAATGCAGGAAAACATCCTGAACCATCTTGAAACATCTGAGGTTTTCTGACCAAACTATACCACAACCAAACGATGGTCTAAGATGTATTAAGCTACCAGGCGGCAAACCAGTAACTGCAGTTGCTGACCAATCATGACTTTTGACTTTGTAAACCAATCCCATGTTTAGTTATCAATCCACACTATGTGTTGTTGCTAAGTCATGACTGAAATGTTCTGTTTTAGCCTAATCATATACTGTACAGCAGTTGTTGATATATATATATATATATACTTATACACATAATATATATATGATGTTTCAGCACTAACCCCCTGGTTCATCAATCCATGTTTGTTGATTCAACCGCAAGTTATTGTATCTTTGCCGGCTGAACAATGATTGGTGGGAAAAAAACACATGGTAAACCTAGATTTCTTTTGCTGGTTACACGGGCATGGATCAAAAAAGGAGTACCAAGGGGCTGTCTTACGTTCGTGTGAAATAGCTTGTTCGCCATGCAAGTGATCCAATTCCCACCCGTCCTCAATTCTCCTGATGATGGAAAATGGGGCAGTCCGATCTAGGTTTGCTGAAAATAGGGTACCCCAAAATCAGATGGTTTCAAAAATCAATCTCCTTATTATGTGATGGCATTTGATGGCCATAAATTGGGTGTATATATCCTGTTTGGGCACATCCATACTATTGCATCCTTGCGATTCGCCAACTTACCCATGAATCCATGGTCTTTAAAAAATCGCACCGTGAAAAAGCCATGTAGAAGGAGCATCCAGTGTGGTTCAAAACACAACAAAAAACCCTCAACAGCCAGTGCGTTTGTCTGAAAATTGGATATAATCCCCCAAAAATGTTGCTTCAACAGAGATGGTAATCCATTGGAATTAGGGTTATCCTCATCGCCTCCCAAGGGCATCACTAGCGCCAAGCCACGTCTGGAGGACATTCAAATTCCCGAAGTCCACTAGGTGTCTCCAGGGTGACCTGCTGGCGCCGGAAGGGTGAGGCTATGGATCCTGAGGCAATCACATAAGCAGAGATGAATGTTGAATAATGACAATTTGGACCACCCAAGTAGCAGTCAGAGATGGAAAAACATATGATAGTTCTGGGCAAATTATAACTGGTTGGTGGTTGACCTACCCCTCTAAAAAAATATGAGTTCGTCAGTTGGGATGATGACATTCCCAATAACTATATGGAAAAAGAAACACCATGTACCAAACATCCAAACCACCAACGAGATAAGTATTGGTGATAAAAACCAGGTCTTCCAGATGTATTGAATTTTTGATAACTCTTAGAAACGATTCAAGCCGTGTGCATTGGTCCCCCAAACTGAATGCCCTCTTTACTCGTGCGAGATGATTGCCTTATTCTTCTGTACTTTATGTTAATGTTTAGCCCTTTGCAACACTATTTGAGTACATCAAATATACCTCAATATACCCCAATACACCGAAAGAACACAAAATCATTGGTGGGGTCTAATGTGGGTAAAACAATAATAAACCATCCCCCAAATCACCATTTTTATAGGTGGTATGGTTACCATTCCCAGCCATGGGTAGTTAGTTTATGACATTGATTTACCCACATTAAACATATTCCAATTGACAAAACTGGATGGTGCCCCCCAGTTATGTTTGTTGGTTTATAAACCCCGTAGAATCCCGTAGATATATCTACCATAAACTATAGTCTATAAACCCCATGGATATAAGAACATTATAGATATACCCTCTGGTAATTTAACATAGCTATAGAAAATCACCATTCTTAATAGGTAAACCATCTATAAATGGGAAATGTTCCAGTTCGTTATGTTGGTTTACCAGAGGGTATATCCCATTAAATCCCATTAAATCCCATTAAACCACCATTTTCCTATGGTTAAACCATAGATATGCCATAGAATCATACCCATCCCACCCCCCGCGTCAGGTTTTTTCGTCCGGCCTTGTATCTCCTGGCCACGTCCCGTCGCCCAGGGGCCGCTCGATGTAAGGGAGAAACGAAACCTCGGCGATTTCTCCCGCAAGGGGTATATCAATGTCAATATATCGATTTATGGGATATATGGGATATATGATATATCTATGGGATATATATAATGAACAATATTTATACTATAGTTGATAGTGATATTGTTCTAATGTATATATAATCTATGGGATTGAGTAAACAACATTATATTTGGTCTGATTTCTCTAAAACATTCTGTAACAATGATGTCTGATCTTGATCATTGATCAGCCAAAGGGGTAGATAATTAATGGCGAAAACACCAGAAACAAGAATTTGGGATGGGTTAAATATGATTAAAACCTACTAGTATGTTTTATACTTTTCCGTATTAGGGGGGATGAGCATCCATAATTACTAATAGCTATTTTGAAGTGACCTGGCCATCCCTAGTCATTTCTGGTGCTTGGACGACTTGGTGATGAAACGGCAACAATGTGGATGTCGGGATGTGGATCACCCCATGACATCTGGAAACGCATTCATGTGCATCCTTAAAACAACCAATTCTGAAACAACCTTCCAATCAATTCATGGTTTTTGTTTGCTATTTTTTTTTTAAACTCCACAATTGAAACACATCCCACGAATTGACTCATACACAATACTTAAATACATCTATCATCACATGTTTGAAGCACCCTTGCAACTCTGCGGTGATGTCCCAAAACAGGGGAAGGTGCGACGTCTGAGTTTCAAGACATCACACTAGTAGGTGGAGTTGTATTTACTATATATATATGTTATTTTTTTAAAAACATAAGTACGTGTAATTCTATTTATATAATGTCATAAAGTTCTATGATATTACAAGTATGTAAATATTCATATAATGTTATCATCATTGTATATATGGTCCAGCTATCTTCAGTACAGGAACCGCCAACAGCATCGCCGAGGAGCATCGCGACGCAGCTAACAGGGTCACTCCAAGCAACCCTGCTCGACGCACCTGCGATGCACTGAGGGATTATCTGCTCCAATTAGTACCTGCAGTCTTTCAGTCAAAGCCCTTTTACCAATTACAAATGGATACAAATAGGATTATACATTCCATAAATGGGGTTATTTCACTGACTTATAACTGGTATTTCAGGTCATAACTGTGGGATTGTCCAAACATAGGGCATGTATAAGGTATATATCCCAATTTATGGGCCATTTGAGGAAAATTATGGGCAAATCCGCTACAACATGTTGCAACCAGAGGTGATTTGCCATCATTTTCAAATGCAAAGCCGACATTTTTCCAAGTCTTCGAGATATGGCCCGAAATACCATTTCTAATTCAGTTATAACTAAGGCCACTTAGTAGTTCATGTATAATCCCGCAGAAATAACATAAAATAACCATTTATAGTTGGTATAGGGCTGAAATAGCAATGAAAAAAATATATAACATGGCTGTGACGATCCTGCCGGCATCCCACCCGCTCCTGGCGGGACATGACGAAGGCCTGCGAGGTGAACACCGTAGAAATGTGTGGTCTGGTAGAAATATGCATGCTATATTTGAAAAAAAATATCCCGGCAAGAAACCCCAAACCGAGCGGGGGGAGTAAAAGGATAATGCATTTTAATGTTGATGATGATGTTGATGGCGATGGTCATTTTGATGATGATGGGGATGAGGGTGATGATGATGATGACGATGATGGTGAGGATGATGATGGTGAGGATGACGATGATAATGCAAGTGCCCTTTGTGAACAGCTATGTAGACGATTGTGCACTAAATCTCCTGGACAGGTTCTGTGTAGAAGCTGCTGTTCCAGATCCCTGTGTAGGGCTATCTGTACAAGGTGTCTATAAGAGATCTCCACCAAAGATCTCGGTGGGGCATCTCAAAGTCAGATCTCTATTCAAGCTCTCTAGACAAGCTGCTGTACAAGATCCCTGTGTAAGGCTATCCGTACAAGGTGTCTTTAAGAGATCTCCACAAATGATCTCTGTGAGGGATCTCAAAGTAAGAAATCTAGTCGAGCTCTCTATATAGAGAAGATCTTTGAGCAAGATCTGTGCTCTATTCACCAGGTCTCTGTACAAGATCTGCCACAGAGGTCTCCTGGCAAGATCTCTGTACAAGATCTCTATAAGAGCTCTCTCTGCACAGATCTCTTCAAGAGGTCTCTTGGAAAGATCTCCACCAAGATCTCCAATCAGAGGTTTCTTGGCAACATCTCTGTGCAAGCTCCCTAAAACAGGGCTCTTGGCAGTCGAAAGACACAAGGACATGTCAGAAGAGCCAGTATAGACGGGAAAATGCAGGACAAAGGTGCCACGACAACCATTTCGTGCGACCCTGCGCAAGCGAAACGCACATAGACATTTCACAAGAGCTATTTTCTGTGGAAATTGACAGGGAAAATGCCGGACAGTGATCCCGCAGACAGCATTGTGTGCGAGCCTGCGCAATCGAAATGCACATGGACATGTCACAAGAAACATTTTGTGCGGAAATTTACAGGGAAAATGCCAAACGCTTCCGATACCACCTTGATTGAACACCAGCCCTTAACTGTTTCCGTAAGAACCCCGTGTGGTCACACTGTTTGGGGAAATATGCTATATTCTGGTATATATTGGTATACCCTTTGGTAATTCAACAGCTTGCTATTGAAAATGGCACATAGAAATAGTTGACTTACCTATTAACAATTGTGATTTTCTATAGCTATGTTAGTTTACCGGAGGGTGTTCCTATTGAGCAGAAATGTACTGAAAGATGAGACATGAAATGGAAGTAGCCTCCAGTAAACCAACGTAGATGCGGGTTTCCCCACCATTTGTAAGTCATGTTACTAGGGAAATCCTTGATTTTTCACATCTATGTTATCTTATCCCAGGGTATATATCAGATAGTTTCAATTCAGCACATGTTGGTTTACTTCGTCAGGATGAAATACCCAATGCAGAATCACTGCTCAAGCATCCATGTCAAGAATAGGATGCAGACTCCATGTACAGTTGGTTACTTATGCATATATATATATGTTTTTATGACATGCTATTCTCCATTCTTGGGAATTCCTGACAGCATTGACTTTCCCTCCGTGCGCCACCTCGTGACACTAACCGTGCGACCGGTGCGGCTGGAGCCAAAATGCTGGTCCGGTTGAGATATGAGTCACCTGGAAGCTGGAAATTCTTCAACTCCCAAAGCAGTTTTTGACTCATCCCAAACATGTCTATATGTCTATATATATATACATGTCATATGTATACATGTCATGTATGTACATATATATATATATATGTGATATATGGTAAGATGGTACTCTCAAAGCATACAAAAACAAAAAAACATGCATTAGTCCTTTGTCATGCTGAGAATGGTGAAAGAGGGTACTCCTATGTTCTGAAAAACCCATGCATCTCACATAACATACTATTCATTTTGGGAACATCTCAAATGGATGGTTGACAACAAAACATAAACTTGCATTTTCAGAGTCCATGTTCAACCCAAGACTAGGCGTCATATCTTTACTTTCTAGTTACTATGTTGCAGACAATTATTCATCAACGTTTTCAGATGTTCCCAAACATGGTTCCAGATTTTTGGAAACAGACCACCACAGAAAGTTCTGGCCCTTTACCAGTTATAAGTCAGTGAAATAACCCAAGTCATGGCAGTTATGGAATGTATAATCCCATATAATATCCCCCATATCCATATATGTGTATATGTTATCATAAATATTATTGGTATTTTGGGATTGAAATGCAATGGCCTTCCGTCATTTGCTGGCGACCAACGAGCGCCAAGGCCATCAACCTGCTCATCCCCTGAGATGTCTACAAAGAAGTTGCACATACTTTCCTGTGGGAGTGGTGGTGCAATCTTACACCCATAGGATCATAGGGATAGGTGGGGTTTCCCAAGAAAACTTGCTTGATTTTAATTGCAGAACATTCTTTACCATGCAGAAGCTAAACATAGCTAAACCAGTTGATTGAGAAAACATGAGAAACCGCTAACCGCTAACATCAATGAGCTTGTATGTGCGAAGTTCGGTGGGTCGCTCCGTTGCAGCATGCGTCCAACGGTTGTTTTGAACCTGATGTTCATCATGCAGTGCTCCAATCCCAGTCCTGCTTGACCTCCACACTGTCAGCGTCACTACCTGCATCGCATCAAACAGAGCGGCCAGGATGAGTTTGGAATCTTACCTCTCCTGCCTAATGCCAAATTACATCTATAGAATCTTTACTCATCTATAGAATTACCACATTCACCAACTGCACAATCAACCATCAATGAGGAGGAGGGATGTTGATCTTGATCCCTTTCAAAATTATGAAAACTCAGGACCCCCAACAAATCAGCATGCGGACCTGAAACCCATCATGACTATGGACCAGTTTCAGATCGACTGTGCAAGGTGCAATTCCATTGCGGGGAGCTTCACCCTCCACCACTGGGCCTTCCTCTGATGCCGGATGCGCTGCTTCTGGGTCCTGGGGGCCACGTACTGCGCAGCAGTTTTGGATGCGAAACAATGCTGTCGCTCTGGATCTCTATAGGAATCTCCCATGAAAACTGCTATATTTTGGGGGTTCCAAGCGGTTCCAATCGGTTCCAATCACCTCCGAAACGGAGATGAAGCTGCTCAGCTGCCCCAGTCCTCATCTGAGAGAACATAATGCTCTGGAATTCCTGCCCGCTGAGATTCGGCGATGAGCGGATGAGCTCCCGCAGATGTGAGAAATGTTTTGACTCATGACTATCATGACTCATGATGCATGTTCGGAGATACCTAGGCGTTTTTTATATAAGATATTGAAAGTATAACGTTAGCTGCCAAGTCAATTATGCATAATGATGCTAATTATGGTTCTTGGCCTCTGTAATTGTAAAACGCACTCGTGTCTGGGTGATACCCAAGGAAAACGCATACGAAAAAACAGGGCATCTGGTGACATGGCCTGGAAATCGAACCCCCCAAAAAACATTGACAAGGATTGGCAAAGTAGCCATTTCCAATAGGAAACTTCTTTTCCAACTCCATCTTTTTGAGTGGTGCCCTGTGGGTTTTAGGGTCTCATAGATTGGATCACAAGACTAAAACCCATCTCTCTTTTCCAACCAATTCCTCGATTCACACTCCATCTGTGCCGGGTTTTACTCCTTGTTTGGTCACGGGCATTGCTACCATTCCACCAAACTGTGTTCCTCGTGTGGTGGTTTCCAAAAAAAGGGCGAAGCACAAAACCATCACTTAGGACATCTACAGGACTTTTCTTTTAGATGATCGTTGGCTGATTCAACATGATTCAATCATGTTAGAATCCCAAAATCATCCAAAACAATCCTATGATCAATGGGAATTTTAGGATCCTAAAATGGAGGTACTGCACCATATAAGACCATGTTTTGTGGGGATATTCCCTTACCTAGGCCTAAGAAATAGGCCTTACATATGGTAGGTACCTGCAATCAATCGGTTCTTGAAATGGCCATTGAACATCCTATGAAAGCGGATGCGCTGTGGGGCCTTTTCGAGGGAAGCTGATGCCATCGCCAACAGGACCACCAACAGGGGCCCACCTTGGGATCAACGACCAGCAAACCCAGGAAAGCATGGGAAATGGGAAAAACCTATTCATTCTTATTTCAACACACATATCAAATGTTGTGACAAGTTGTGACATTTTTTTTGGAGTGTGGCTATGGTTGCAGCTGCAAAATCTCGGTGTTTACAAGATGTTGGTCATTGTTGTTTAAAATATGTTCAAGGAGTAGGTGACATGTGTACAAAACCACTACCAACAATTGCGATGTAACATGAAACGTGCATCTTTGTTCACCTTACGTTCCCTGAAGGATGCAAATCTGTGGCAGCAATCAAAGGTCTCATAGAATGGGACTACCTACCATCACCTTTATGAATGTGGCCTAAAACATCTCCAATCGCCTGGCCGGTCTTTTTGACCCGCCAAAAAAACATGAGCTCCTCATTTAGATACCGATATCTTCCGGTCTGAAGGCTGAAAAAAATTACAACAAGTAACAATTCGACCACATGAAATCCAAATCCGGTCTCTTTATACTGGTTGAATCCGGGATTCCCCTTATCGATTGTGATATTCCCCAACTGGGTATATTTCGTATAGTCCACTATTTTTTCAACTGTATCAACTATATTCCCACATGTTCATGGAATAAACAGACTATAATCTATAATTATCAACCATTTGATAGCCTAGGTTACCCAGGTGCTAACATTTCTAACCTTCATCTGGAGTTCATCTGAGTGTGGCACCACACCAATGGTGAGCTGCCCAGAACGGCACAGACATTTCGATAGATGCCCACGTCATAGGGATTGTCATAAGGCCTTACTTTCGAGCGGAAGGACCTCCATAGGTCCGGATTGGTGTTGGTTCATGACGCCAAGTGATGGATGGTGATACCTACGGTCCTATGGTTGGATGGGGTCATAAACCAAACAAATGGTGGGGTCCTTGCAGGGTATGAACTCCAAATGTTCACGATTTCAACATAGCGCCACCATACTACAGAGGCAGGGAAGAATCTGCATGCGAAGCGCATGTTGACCAATGAAAACAACATTATTATATGATTCTATCTCAAACTCAGGGCCTAAATAGTTGTGTTTTATTTTGTTGTATGTATGAGTGACTATACTGCAAGTGTTTATGCACATACGTCATGTCATGTCATGCCATACAATCTATTGCCATGTACAGTAGATGCATAACTATTAATTTATTATATACATTTATATACAGATATATGCATCATAGACATACATAGACAGGTTTCATGTGCACACATCCTATTGGCAAAAACATGATGTGGCCACTCTTCGCCATGGGCCCGTCTTGCTATCTAAATGGTAAGTCAGTGCGAGACCATCCTTGTGTTTCAATCGTATCCATGTGTGCAGATATAATAAGTGATGCTATATACATAGTTCATCATATTACATCATATTACATTAGTTACGTGAGTGCTACTTTTCGTCACATAGTGCTACAATGATCTACAATGTGTATGCATCAGCCTTTTCAATAGGTAAATCAACTATCACCAAACATAACTATGGAAAAATCACCAGTTTTAATAGGTAAATCGTGGTAAATCCACTATAAATGGACCATTTTCCATCGCTATGTAAACATGTACCAAAGGGTAAACTATGATGATCCTCGTATCGAAACGCCAAGGCACTTCTCATCAGGTCCCCTCGCAAAGGAGGCGCAGAACTCTATGGTGGTCCTGGTGGTGGTGGCTGATAGGGGGATTTAACAATCCATGGGTTTTGAGATGGTTAACATTAACATGATAGGCTGAGAATTATACTGAATGATTTACTCATACATTGTTGGATCATACATTTTTAAATGATACGGGGATTTAACAAAGTATGATTATTTAAAACTGTGTTGAATTCAGGGTGATTTAACAATCAAAGGCTGGACTTTTAAGATGGTTTCATCATGCTGAAATGGGGATACAGAGCCAATATATCAATATAACATGAGAACATGACATATCCCCCCCCATATGCGCCGAACATGAATCCAATACTAAACCAGAGATTCGCTTGGGGAGTATCTTTCATATTAGGGCAGAAGCTAACTCCAGGCCGCCAAGAGATACCATGATGGGAATTTTTCATGATGGATCCAAGTACGTACTGCTGAGGGAGTATCTGGGGTACTGGTTGGTGGTTTCAAGCCCCCTGAAAAACCTGAAAGTCAGTTGGGATGATGACATTCCCAATATATGGAAAGTCATAAAATTCATGTTCCAAACCACCTTAAACAGGGTATGATTTAGGGGGTTAGCCGTACCTTCTAAAGAGTCGTGTCTCTTTCTATCGGAATCATGGCCAACACATGATGGCTGTTTTTCAGCAGTGCTAAAATGTGGAAACAAAAAAGAAGTTGCCAGAATTGAAACACAACATATCTGACATGGGGATATACAAAAGCACCTCCCATGGGAATGTAATTGGAATCAGAAAACATATCAAATCCTGGAAGTTGCTGAAAGGTAAACCCAACAAACATAGAGATCGCAAGGGACATAAATAATGGTGTTGCATGGGCTTATCTGATTCTTTGTTTAACCATCCATAATCCACAGGCGTGGAAAACCCTCATGATCCACCTGAGGTTGGGAAAAGTAAACTGTTTCACCGATCAACTGGTCAATTTAGCATGAGCGAGAGACATATCTTCCAGGGTTAATATGGGTTAATATTATTTCAAAGCTCTTTATCGGGATTCCATGTTACCCTTTGGAAGGATTCTGGTTGGTCAACCAATGCTCAAACTACCAGTGATTCACTGGCCTGTTTACCATGGCGACCATCATGAGGAAGTGAAACCCATTGATTCACCATCTGTTACAATCTCAAATTTATGATAGAACCCCAAACATGATTAAGGTTAAACAAAAACAACATGAAAAGGCCTTAAATGCATGAGATACAAACAGCAAAACCTGGGTGAAGATCTGCGTATACCTTGGCAAGGCATGATCACTATGAAACCTATAAAAAAAACATATCGATGCATCGGCACCAGGCCCCCTGGCATGTTTCGGATGACCAGCCAGCTATGGAAGAGGAAGAAGGGAACCTCCCACAGCTGAGAAACGGAGATGGCCTATGGACCATGATTCCCCCAATAGATAGCCTCTGGTAAACGTTTACATAACTATGGAAAATCACCATGTTTAATGGGAAAATCCACTATTTCTATGGCCATTTTCAATAGCAAACTGTTAGTTTACCAGAGGGTAATTTCAGCTTTTGGCGACATGAGGTCTTAAAAACTGGCACTAAAAAGAGGGGTTACCTAAATTTTCTGACAAACATAACAAAAATATATCCCAGTCGGAAGTGATTAAGAATGAATTGATATACCAAAGAATGCCATAACTCTGGGTACAATTTGCTATTGGAATCTCGCCATGTTATTGATTTGTTGAGATACTCCCAACCTTCCAAGAGGTTCTGTCATATACAGTAGACCGCTGACAAAAAATGAGCGGAACCCAGAACATGCTTTTACTACCTGTTCATTTCCCGCGTACTGTACTTGGAGTTTCCCGGAAGTATGGAAGTGGGTTGCAACAAGATTGTACCCTTCTATGGTACTGAATGACCTACGGGTGCTTTGAATCAATCGTGAACATATGAATCTAATTGGTCCATCATCTCACAAAACATGGGCCAACCAACAAATCACATCTCTATCTATATATATATATATATACATATTCACAAATCACATCAAACAAAAATGAAACTGAAGTCATATAACTCATACACAAATAAATATAAATATGTATATATATATATATATATAACTCATATAATCCACCTATTTTCGTTTTAAAACCTTTCCATTCGCAGGGCGTGTGTTGGGCACCAGGATGCTGGAGAGCAGAAAGGTCAGGGCTTCAGTGCCGATCAGCAGAAAGGTGGTAAGTGCCTTGAAAGGATTGATTGAAGGGACATGGTTCACCACTAATATGGATTATCATATATCAAGTATGGTATGATATGATCAAGAAGGTCCATACTATGTTTGCCTCCCAATCCTAAAACTTGTGATAATTGTTGTGGAATAATTATGACGGGAGAATAAGGATTATAATGGGCTTATAAGACTGGGATTATTATTGTACACTCCACTGACTTCCCATTCGCTTAATGGGTCAGGGGAACCATTCATGGGATGATTACCCATGGATTATGTTTCCACTAAAGCGACATGGTTATCTACTAATGTACATATATATATATATACATTGTAGACTATTCTGGAACTATCATGAAACTATTCTACTATTGTTTCCCATTAAAATCCCATAATATTAAGGGACATGATATGGGATTCCAACATAGTCCATGCGATTCCATGATACAGTATGGGACATGCACTAACATGGGACAATAATCTATAATGCCCTACTAATATGGACTATTATGGAACTATTATGGAAACAATAATGAAACTATTGGTTCATATGATGACCCATTATTATTCCATAATATTAAAATCCCAGTATGGGTCCATAAGGGGAACCATTCATGGGATTATTATCCATTTTGGACTATTATTGTCCCACTGGTTTAAGTTTCCACTAATATGGGACGATCATAGTCCATATTCGTGAGTGTATGGGATTATAATGGATTATCATGGGATAATTATGATCGTAATGGTAATTAGATTGGATAATTAATGGGATAAATATGGAAGAATAGTGGTGATTGGATATGATGAATCATGATGGTCATCATAATATGGAAATGAACTATCCAATGGGATGATAATCCAATGAACCGTGGTTGAAATATCCCATATGCTCCATGGTGCTGGAATATTTACCCAAAATGTTGGGTCATTTTCGGGCTAAATGTTGGGTAAATATTCCAGCACCATGGAGCATTGGGGCCTGTTGAGATCATCTGTTGAACGAATGAAACATGTGGAGTTTAATGTGTTGACGTTCATGGGGTGTTCATTCATGTTCAACGGTGGTTTTCTTGGAATTTGGTGATTTGTTTTGTAGGTGTTGCTTTGGCAAAAAAAAAAATCAACGGGTGGCGTTCATTTCAAGATTCCTGCAACATTTGTTCAACTGAAGCACTACTCCCAAACAATCACAAGGACTGCTACTGTAATCCTCAGCCACCAGCCCCTGGTTAGCCAACCAAAAAGCATCAAAAACCACTGTTGCAAGGCAACCCAGAGCTCCCACTCTTTTCATTGGCTGTTGTGTGGCTACTGTGAACAGAGACGTGAAAGGATTCTGGACCGCGGGCTACTGCGATACTCATCATGGTTCAATGGTTGATGGGAACTATGGGAAATAGTCTAAGAACTACCATAAGTGGATGTTTTATGGAAGGCATAGAAACATCATGTATAAATTACCATACCCTCTGGCCCATTTAGTTCGATGATTTATGATGACTTACCCACTAAAAATGGTGATGTTCGATAGCAAACCGTTCAATAACCAGAGGGTATACACCAATATTCCATGACTATTTCCTTGATCATCCATGAATATTCCCATACAAAAAAAAACATTCAAATAAAAATCCAGGATGTTCTATTGATCAACTCCCAGCTTGCAAACTTCGACCTCCGAGACACCGGTAAGGTGGCATGGACCAAGAGGTCCAGCACGTTCAAACCCAGCATGCCACAGGCGATGTTGGTATACGCCTGAGGGCATAGAGCAGGCAGCAATAGATAGGAAGTGTGGTATGATATGATCAAATAGTATGCTTATATCATTTATCAACTACAGCATATCATGTCCATATATGTAATATAATATTGTATTGTTATACATGTTACATGTGTATATATATATATATATTCAAACACATTGTGTATTCATTAAAAATGTAATGTATATGACACACACATATATATATAATGTACGTTGTATTGACTGGTGTATGTATATATCATATGTAAATGCGCATAATGTTGCCCAGCCAATAGTGATATCTTGTCAATAGTAGAAACATTTTTCCGCAACTCCAATTTTTCTCCAATACTAAAAGTCAATTAGCTCTATTTACTTTTAGTATTGCCAAAAAAGTCATGTTCAGACCTTGTCCAGAGGGCATGGCCAATAGTGGACCCAACATGGCAATAGTGGAAACTTTTTTCCCAACTCCAATTTTTTCTCCAATACTAAAAGTCAATTAGCTCCATTTACTTTTAGTATTGCCAAAAGAGTCAAGTAAAGCAAATCCTTTTCAAAGCAGCCTTCACTTTTGATTCCAGAAATCTGATCGAATTACCAAACAGCTGATTTCCTTATAAAACCCTTATTAAAAAACGCAAGAAAACAGGTCCACAAAGGGTACCCCCTTTGCAAGCCCCAGAATAGCAATAACAAACCTGCACCAGGCATGGCAATAGTGGAAACTTTTTTCCGCAACTCCAATTTTGTTGCCCTCCTTCTCCTTCTCCTTCTTCTCCTTCTTCTCCTCCTCCTCCTCGTCCTCCTCCGTCGCCTCCACCACCTCTGCCCCCACTTCCATGATCCCAGCTTTAGATTCCCACAAATTATTATAGGAAGGTTGACCCCCCCCCCTAAAATATTTTTCAAAAAAGTAAAATTTAGGGGGGGGTATTTATTATTAGGCAGCCAACATTAGATTGATTACATCTGTATTGTGTTAGTTATATTATCAGTGTTTGTAAACAGTGAATACATAACATTGTACACAATATATGGAACTACAAAGCCATCACACATGCCGATTATTGCCAAACATCAATCTATGTATGCTTTACCAACAAATGGGGGCAAGTTAACACCAAACACTGGGCGAGTGTACGACAAATCTTTTATCAAAACAAACATATGTTATTTTACTCAACAAAACGACGGGTGCTACCAAAATCAGTGCATCTTCATGAGGCGTGACTCAGTCTGAGCTACCATAGATGCCATATTTCAAACCATATCATCATGCACTCTGGACCTGGCTCAAACCCCATCAACAAACTCAAGGGACAACCTTGCCCGCACGATTTAGTTATATATTATACATATATATATATATGTACATGTATATATATATATATCAATCATCATTACTGGTGGCAGTATTTCTCCACTCCGCAGGAAACGGGGAAGGCTGTAACAGTTCACTGTGATGGCAGAATTTTCGAGGCTCGCAGTAGAATGAAAATCCCAAGACTCTCATCCTGCCAGACCTTCGACTCAGCTGCAAACGTAAGGCTGCCACCTCCAGAGTACCATGAGGGATCGTCGAACGGGTCAGTGATTACTCGGATCAAAGCCATGTCAGGTGTCTTGCTGCAGATCTCCATGAGTGCAGATGGCGTGGTGAAGTTGAACACAAAGCCGCGCGGCTTGCCATCACCCTCAAGTAGTTGATCGGATCACTCCCGACCTTGTTCTGAGTATGCTGAGCCACCCCAGAGCCACCTTGTCCCTGAGGTTTGGAGGCAGGAGGTTCATGCCCTCTTAGGCAACAGAACCTAAAGGCAAAATTTGGACCCTTCAAACTTCAAACACTATTTGTGATTGATTCCTAAAGAAAGAGACCCTGAAGTGGCACCTGATTTGTGGGGCTCCAAAATTTGAATGCAGATTCGAACCTCGATCATCTATGGGGATAGATCAAAACAAGCTGATACCATGGATCGTGTCCAAAAATAGGCCACCCCAAATTGGAGGGTTGATCATCAGGTTCCCCATGATGAAAAATAGCCATCTGGGTCCCATCCCCAATCAATTTCCCATCCTGCCCTCATTTCCCACCAGGAAGAGGTAGAAGTACTTGTGGTTGGCCCAGCCAACAGTGTTGCCCAGCCAGGGGCAGTGGTGATCCATCCGCAGCACCTGAGGAAACAACACATCCAGGCCGCAAACTGTGTGCATGTCTCGTTCAGCGGAAAGATGAATTTCAATCCTCTCTGTGATCTTGTATAGTTTATAGTTTATATTTATTGCATGCTAACAGCTCTGATACACTATATACACTCGGAGTTCATTCAGAGGGCTCACCTGAAAAATGCATGTCCCTTCACTTCAAAGTCTCAACGTGGAGTGAAACAATGTATATCAATATATCTGATGTCATTATGATATATCTGTTTGAATTGATAATATAATGATATCACCTATGTGTTCAAGATCCTCCTCAGTTATGGGCCGGAATTTCCAGGCATCCCCACCACTCGCCCCATGGCGCGACAGAAGTGGGCGCGATCTGGTTTGAAGGCCTCCAAATCGGCTGGGATGAGCATCAGTGGTCTGCTACTTTGAATCATTGAGATGTGAGGTTTGGTTGCCAGGTCTTTTCCAAGTGGGGCCAAGCATGTCTTTTCATGTATACATATCTGTATATATACATACTACACACACACTAGTCATCACTAGTCTGTTTCTATTCATGTGGTAAGAACGGTTCGGTTAAACCCAATAATAAACCATCCCATTCACCAACCATGGTTCCGTGAGCCATTTTACATCATCCCATTGCTAGAGGCATACCCAATTTCAATTTAGCTCCCCCCATGGCTAGGGGATGGTTTTGCTATCATTGTGCCATTGATTTCCAAAAAAACAATGAAATTGTGCCATCATATGAAATTGTGTTCTTGGGTTTCCCATATTTTTTCCCATAACATCATGATTTATAATTATTGGGTGTCCCACATTATATGGGGGTTTCCTAAAAAATGGGGGCTCTCCGGGCTCTCCCAAAACCATCGATTTCAAGACTAAGCCATGGTCATCCATGACTTGGAGACTTGGATGATTTGGGGCTACCCCCATGACTTAGGACACCTCCAAATAGGCAAATAGGTCCAAAATTGGTAATTAATGGATATTAATGGTATATCAGAAGTGGATATTTCATCCGATATACAACCAAAACAACACCGGATGGTGTCAACCAACAAACATTCCATGGCCTGTGACTTCCGGCACCATCGGGCTTCATCGCCTGATTGAAGTCCATGGAACGGCATGGGCGACCCCCTAGCAAATGTGACCCTAATGATAAAACCAACCTACAGTACATGGGTATGTATTATATATATATATATACATACATAGTGGGTGTATATAATTATATATATAAGGGATATAGTGGCATTCACCCTTCTTGGGTTTGCACTTGGGTTATTCTAATGGGATTTTGACCCCCAGAAGCTGGGATTACAACTATGGTTTTATCATCGTTTTATCACCACTTATGAGTGGAAATGCACCTCCAAGTACAGTCATGGTTTGTGAAGGGCTTATGAACAACCGACAACTTACAGTACCTGCTGGGAACCATTCTACTCAACTTTTTAACCAACCAACAATTGGGTTAAACAAATCTTGATATAACCACAAAAGACTGAATTTAACCAAGAATAATATAAATTAAACCATAAAGATGGGGGCTCAAGCAACAAGAAATTGAGGTTCACCAACAACTGCTGGATCGTAGGTGGACTTAAAATGAACGAACAAATGACTTGAAGATCTTGGAAGTACGCAAGTATCTAGTTTATCCGAGACTTCATCCTTTCCTCTTGCAGGGCACAACACTTTGGAGAATCGAGCTGAGAAATGAGAAATGACCGTTGGGAAGTGTTGATCTGTATCAAGGTCGAGTTCCAGGAAAAAGTGCCAATCAAACATGTTGGGAAGCATATAATTGTGTGTATATATATATATATTATATACACATTAATATATATATTATATATCACAAAATACACAACATTACAGATGTGATTGTATACTATAGCAATCAATAATATATCAATCATAGTCAATTATATATATAATTACATGTAATGTGAAACTATGTAATTACATGTTATGTTTTGCACCCAGCTGTTCACTTGTCACCCATCTGAAAGCTCCAGACTGAATCTCTTCTGCTCATGCACGCACCTGCCGCTCCCCGGGGCAACAAAAAATGGCCAAAACTTTATCTCTGGCCAACATAGCTATAGCAAATGGACCATTTACAATCCATTGACACTTGATTTACCTATTAAAATCGTGATTTTCCCAGTCCGCCATGTCAGTTTACGCGAATTCACCACAACGGGTCGCTCCAAAAATTGCCGAGCCGTTCCCGAGGACATGATCAACCCCCCGAGTTGGTCAACCTCAACTGTGGCCCCACAAGGCCCCACAAACACTGCCGATCCAATCTGTAGATTGGTGGGACGGATCCACCCATCGCTTCTCAAGTTAATCATATCGCAGTTTGCCATTCTACTTGGGTCCCTTTTGTCAATGGGAATCCTCAGAGTAACGTCAGTTCTCTGTCACTCAGGGCCTTAGATATTGACCATAGTGGTCGACTAGACAACCACATCAGAATGGCAAGGAGAGAAAAGTTGAGCAAAGGAGAATTTGTTGTTATTTTTTGACCCATACCCCAACATCATCGCTCCAAACAACTCTCCGAAGACATGATGGATCTGGGGCGGAACCTCTATGGCTTCGTTTCTCAAGGCCAAACATGGTCCAAGCATGTCCAAACAATGTGTACACGACAGTTGATTCGAGAAGATGGAAGAAACCAATGTACTTTCCATCCTGACCACAATGGATAAAATCCTCAAGTCTTTACTTCAGAATGTGACGAGTTTGCTGGATCATTGGCGACATCACTCATTGTTTTACATCCCATTAAAAATGATATCCACATGCCATGCTTGGTATTATTGCCACCAGATTCTGTATGTATATATACACATGCATTACATTGAATTGCATTGCATTACATAGCATAACAAAACATAACATAGCATAACATAACAATACATAACAATACATAACATGATGTAACGCAACAGTCAAAACAACAACACACATATATTATATAATATCAACTATACTATTTCCCACCAAAACAAACAAGGTGCTCCCACCAAACCCTCTAGTTATAAGTTGGATTATGATTAACACTATACAGTAGGTATATCTATCAGAAATTCATAGAAATCCTAGTTACCCACGGTTAGCCAATAAACCATAACCAGCAACTAGGATTGCCAAAAGGAACATATAGAAACAATTAACAAAGAATTGCTATGCCCCCATATCCTAGAATTCTATCACAAACCCAGAGAAATCCTATAGTTACCTTCCCTTGCCTATCAACCCATGAAATCAATAGAAATCCATAGAAATCGGAAATACAGGCTAGACTGTAGGTAATACAGTAGGTATTATATGGTATTATCATGTATTATATCTATCAGAAATCCATAGAAATCTATGAACCAATTTAGCGAAGTAGGGAACCACCACCATTCCCATCCTCCCATCTCTCACCTCGGGGGCCGATTGGGATCGCGCCACTCGGGGCCACAAGGCACACTGCCAGGGTCTGTGCGGGCGGCCTGGTGCCGGAGGATAGTGATGCCGCTGGAGGATCGCAACAATTACGGCCCGTTTAGACAAGGCTAACCGTTTGGGTTTATGGATGATATAACTATGATTTATGGATTAGTAAACCAACTTATATATCTATGGTTAAAGCATGTTAAAGCCCTTTCCCAGTTATAAATGTTTGTACATGGGATGATACATTCCATACTTGGGGTGATTTCACTGACTTATACCTGGTAAAGACTCATAACTGTATTGCATTTGTCATGAATACTATACCATTATACCATCATACACCATGATCATGTTGTTCTTAAATACGTGTGTATATATATATATATATATTACTGTGATTTTGTATGTTCATGTTTATTACTAATCTTACGGTTGATATCATGTTCCCATTGTTCATCGTTGCGCCCATTAAACACAAATATCATGGTGGTCATCATGACATCTCAGCGAGCACGTTCCACACCTGGGCGAAGCTGGCTAAGGTCAGGAAGACAAAGGCGTGGAACAGCAAACTCTCGGGACCTTGGAGGGAGGCCTTGACATGGGAAAATGATGGAAGCTGTGTTAAGAATCTCTATGCTTTTTGTCCATTATACACTAGATATATCTTTATTCATATAATGTATAACATATATATATATATATTGTCTGAACATTGTGTAGTGATGTGCACAGAACTTCAAAGATGCCAAGAGACATGGGGATGTAAACAACTAAACGGATGCATTTCCCCTGCAGCTTACCTGGGCATCCCTCACTATTCAAGGAGAGCCCCGCGGCTGGCATGTAGGCAAAGACAAAGGCGCTGTAAAGCATGGCCAAGAGCCTCAGAAATTCGATGGCTGCAGTTGGGTTCAAACATATGATATGGGTAGAACATCAATTAGGGATATGATGTGATGTAAACCCTGTAACTATGGCTATGTAAACATTCATTGAGGACATTAATCGGAACTGAGATCGTTTTGCTTGGGGATTTAATCCATGAGATTTGGATGGTCTATAAATGGGCAATTATTTGGTTTTAAATGGGTTGTAAAATTGTTTTACCATTGCTCATTGGGGATCATATGGTTGAAACCACAACAAATTGGATTTGGAACACATAGTACGGGAGTGTAAAATATACTGGTTGGTGGTTTCAACCCCTCTGAAACATATTAGTCAGTTGGGATGATTATTCCCAATATATGGAACAATAAAAAATGTTCCAAACCACCAACCAGTATATATATATATATATTAGATTATATTAGTAAAACAATCAGTACAGTTGAGGACTTTCACCAATCATCACCACTGGGATGTCGCAATTCAATAGCGCAAATTGCCATCATGATCACATCCCAATCTCTGTCGATGATCCCCATCTTTTCAAGCGCTCAGTCGTCCCTTCTTGTTGCTTCAAAATGCGGTGCTTAGATTCACCCATGTGGCTCAAGATGTGATAGCTGTAACAAAAACATGTGATTGATAAAACCATGGTAATCATGGTTTCATTGGACTGGTAAACCCCAAAATTGTTGCCATCCCCAATTTTACGTTCCAGAAATGCGTCCAAGGCGCCCTAGGACAAAGATCACTGGGAGCTGACTCTGAAGCGCTGGCTTCCTTGGAAATGGTTGGTTTCTCCCGTCAAAACCCCCCGGGATTAACAGACTGTCAACTTTTGCTTGGTAGGAAAGGATTACTGGTTGGTGGTTGAGCCCTACCCCTCTGAAAAATGATGGAGTTCGTCAGTTGGGATGATTATTCCCCATATATGGAAACATAGAAAATGTTCCAAACCACCAACCAGATGAATTACTCAACTAAAACATGGGGAGATACTGAGCTCAACTGGGGATTTACATGGAATTTGCTACAACAAAAATGGGGCTGGAACCAACCACTCACACATCTCCAAGCGTCTCGGGACCTCGAGTGAACTTGTCCAGATCAATACAGCACAAGGCCTAGCGGGATACACTCCTGATCTACGGGTAAAATGGATACATTTCATTGTAGAACTATATGGAGATATATGAGATAAAGATAATAACTATTATGCGAATGGCTGTGTCTGAAACAAGGCTGTACCGGCTATACCATTCTATACCCACAAAAATGGAATTTGAATGAACAAAATGTGATTGAACAGTGGATTCTAGGGTTACTGTACCATGTTTCGGGCAACCCCCTGGAAACGCTCTGTAGAAGACCCAGTGAACACACAAACTTCTGGGTATAGAAAAGAAGACGTAACAAGTTTTGAGGGTATCATGAGTAGTTGGTGGGTTACCCTAAACATACGTAGTATTATGTATTGTTTATACTATACTTTATATATTGGGTAATTGTCAAACCAATTATGAGAATGGATTTGACAACTTTAACAATTGCCCAGTTTATAAAGTATATAATACTATATTTAGGGTACCCCACCAACTAGTCATAAACCAACCAGCATTTCTTTGAGGCACGCGCCTGGAGCAGCTTTGCGCTGCCATGCATGCACTTGTCCACCTGAACATCGCCGACTCGGCAGACCGTCGGACGTCGAACTGGTGGTTTTTCGCCCTACCCCTCTGAAAAATGATGGAGTGAGTAACAGTTGGGATGATGACATTCCCAATATGATGGGAAAAATGAAAGCCATGTTCCAAACCACTAACCAGCAAAACATCCAAGAAATGGGATGAAATGGGAAGATGATAAAAATATGGTCAAACTTGGCTACAATACCCCCTTGTGGTACTCAAATTGACCAACATCTGTGATTGGTCAAAGCGCAAATTTTGAGCCATGTCCCAAATGGGGCTGCGAATGATTGTGAGTGGGGATATCATGGTCCGCTAAAATGGGATAGGCATATCTAGGCACGAGTTGCGACCCGATCACATTAAAACAAAAGCACCTATTCTTTGCCATGTGGAATACTTCATTATGTCCCCAATTACTAATTATTATCTAACACATGTAAACCATAGTTTTATCAATAACCAACATATCTAAACCATAGATTTATCCCCAAGTAACATATCTAAAACCATAGATTCAATAGATTGCTGATCTCTCCCATAGCCATTACATCAGCTCTCCCGGGAGCCCGCACCAAGCTCCCGAAATGACTGGCCGCCAACTTCGCTTCATCCACCACCTCAGACCAAACACAGAGCAGGGCGGCGAAAAAGAGGTAATGTTATGGCAAAGAACAAAATAATTAGTGCATTATAGATGTATAATATATTAAAGATATGCACGGATGTATACATAGATGTATTATCACAACACTTCATATAGATGTATACATTTACATTATGTAATCACCCACATATATATATGTATGTATGTATATATACACGGTCAGTAAACAGCCAAAGGGGAGGGAACCTAGTGAAGACCCCCAAATTTCAACCGAACAAGGGTCATGTTGACTAGATTCCATAAACATATCTGGGTTCCACACAATGTCTTGTTTAGATAAATCAGATCATGTGTGCCAAACAAATATGATGACTCAAACCTCAGAGCTGAGAGCTAGTAACATTTTAGTAACTCGATATATCATGATATATCTCCAACACGGAAGTTGAGCTTCGTTGTCTTGTCTGCACGGCCCCAACAAAAAGCCTGGGATCCCGGCGACTCCGCCTGTCTGAATGGAAACCTGTGGCGATGTCCAACGTTGGTTGCTGCCATGGCATTGGCATGTGATCCTCTCTATCTAAATAGATTTTGATATCTGTGTATATCATATATATATGTGTATGTGTATATGTCCATGTGCATATGTATGTATGTATGTGTATATATATATAGAGTAATTTAATCATACATATATATATATATTGGTATATGAACCCGAGTACATCCTGCCAAGGCGTTTCTCATAGCATCCCCTGAGTATCCGAGAAATTCGTCTCTCTCTCTCACTCTCTCTCTCTCTCTCTGGATCCGTAGGTTATGATTTACAGTGTATAAGGGCACAACTTGGACCATGAAGATGTGTGCACGTGCCCGATAATTAGTCATAATTATTCCATATTCTTTCCTTCAATTCTTGATGTTGAACATACTGTACTTGTCTTTATTTAGTGGGTTGCCAAGCGGCTGCCGAATCCTTCCCAAGGAATAAAATCTTCAAAGTTTCGCTACTGGGATCCTCTACCCAGTAGATGCATCAGTAAATGCACTCACCACTCATTGACCGTACGACCAACCCATCTGAATTGCTCTCCTCTTGAGTATATACAAATGATATTACATGCGCCAGAACCATCACTGGCTCCCAACAGCTCCAAAAACACGTGTCCATAGGGATTCCATAGGCGGTTGCCATCAGCTCCAATATATATATATATATATATAATATATATAATATATATATATATAAATGGCGCATGTATCAATGTCGATATCCCCCTTCCGGTGGCCCCAGCCTCTACCAGTTTCAGAAAGCTATCCAAGAAGGGTCGAGCCTGGCCCAGCGCTCACAAGCTACAGGGTGTTAGTTGCGCCAAGTAAGAAGCTAGTGCGCTAGTTTTGCCAGGCATGCCAATATGAGGAGAGTGTCTATTACCTGAGGAGCTTCAGAGATGCCTCCACCATCCAGGCGTCAGTAGCCTTTGTTTGGACCATCCTCCGGATTCATCCTATGTGTACTACATGGGCCCCATGGGTTTCACGCCCAAACCGCGAAAAAACACAGGTCCTGACGACCTGCATCCTCAGCCATGTTGCGATAAACAGCGACCAAGGAGAAACTGGGGTTTCCCCCATGGTAAAACCCATTGTTGATTAAACAACACAATAATTAAAATTGTGTTCAAATGGGTGTTGACCACCATCTCCATTTCAATAAAGTTTCCATTGATGTCGGGAAACTGCCTTCCTCGTTTCGAACGGTTTAAGAATGGCGTTCTTAGACATCCACCTCATCAATCCCATCCCCCGAATGTATGAAATACCACGTAAGTTAAATAGCACCAGGGAACCCAATTGAAAATGGCCATTCATGGTGGATTTTCCCATTAAAAATTGTGATTTTCCATAGCTATGTTAGTTTACCAGAGGGTACATCCAATAGCAAGAGAGGATTTCTGTTGGCTCGTTTGATATTCAGGGAGGTTATTATTTTCCACGGGTCAGACCAAAATTTAGCATGGTCCAATCTGCAACGTATAATTACGACGTATAATGTTTTTGGGACATATATCCCCACAATGTATCTTACAATAAAATGCTAAAGTTCTGCGTGTCCCAGTTCTCTACTTACATTTGCCACATGTTGTCTGACTTTTATTCTGAAGTTTCCACATGTTATCTCACTCTTATTGATATGTTTTCCACATTCTATCGTGGCATTTCCCCTATATCCAATGTTGTTCCCATGGTTATTAATATTGTTCATTTCATGTTCAAATTACAACAGTGTACATTATCATGTAAAATAGCACATTATTATGTACCACTGGGGATAGTGACAGAAAGAAAACACCATGACTCGCTGCACCTTCTGGGCCACCACCTTGGCTGCATCTTCGGGCCTCATCTTTGGAGGCAGCCGCTCCTGATGTCATCCGTATAACGGACATCAAGTGATGTTGATCGGATATTGAGTTGGATTAACTGTTGATTTAATGGGATTTAAAGAATTTTTATGGGATTTAATGCGATTAACTGAATTAAGTGTGATATGTTATTTTTAATACGTTAGACAGCAGTCATATCATGATATTCCTATGAGATGTAACTTCTTATCCATGTGGGTCAAACAACATTGGCAACAACCCACCCAAAACAAAAATTCATTGTATATCATATCATTGGATACTATATTTGAAAGGAGGGAAAACATGGGAAAACACAGGTCACAGGTATGTCTTTTAAGAGCAAGCATGGCAAGAGCCCATCCAGTGGGTGGGAGGTCACTTCACTCTCACAACTGGTTGGAGAAGCGAACCATCTCACGGACACATCAGAGTCATTCAGATCAGCTTCCCCCTTGTAGAATGAGAGTACAACAATTGAAATTTAAGCCATGAAAATATATCAATATATTATCATGCAATCATCAGAAATGGAGATAGACACATACGTCTGTATATCATATCATAGCATTTAAAGTTTAATTAATACAACGTCTGAAGTAGATCGGTGAAAATGGAGTGTGTAAGTTTTAAAACTGGAAAAAAACACACATGCGAGGGGTCCTTGTTTATGTCAGTATACACACGATGGTAGGCGATTTGTGGTTCCAATCCATCATAGTCTTGGGTTGGGACAAGGAAACACACTAGAAACGATCAGTGGCAGTGCACGTCCGTCTTCTACCATCCAATGAGATTGACACTTGATGCATCAACCTCTGCATTGCCAAAAGCTCCGCGTTCGCATTGACACATTTCGTGATGCAATTATACCATGGTCGCATTCTGAGGGAAAGTCTATGCAATGTCAAGTCCTGACCACGTTCATCATGTTCAGCCGGCAATGGCTTGCGTTTCGTCGGCAAGTTGTCAAAGTTGAGATTGCACCATCAGCCACTGAACTAAAACAAGTCGCTCTGAGTGGCATCCTGGCTGGAAGCCTGCCCCCTCAAGCCAAAAGACATTGATAAGTCTTGATGCCAAGAATTCAATGAAAGACTTGGGAATCACCAAGACCTCAATGGGAACTCCTCAAATTCAGGTGGTTGAAACGGCCACTTGGGGAATACCCATCTGGTAACTAACAGCTTGCTAATGAAGATCATCATATTTTCAATAACCTCTCTAAAATGGGCCACGTTTAAAAGCTATGATAGATTACCGAGGATACATTCAAACGACCTGTAGGACCCAACAATCAACTGACGACACAGCATCGATCATATTTGAGAACATCAACTACGACTCTGAAGGAGGGACTTCAAAAACAAATAACATTAAATAAAACCAAAATAATAAATAAATCACGCATCTCCACCTGTCAAGACTGTCAAGATTCTAATGATTGGATATGTATAGGGGCGTTTTGGGGTTCCTGACATTCCTCCCATCCCAGCTTTCCTTCGACAGAATCGGCGCCATGATGTCTGAGTTATCCGCGAGCACTTGTGGCTGATCTTCCAGGGGAACCAATGTTTTGCAAGGGCTGGATGTATCAGAAGAATGGTTGGAATTGCCTATGAAAGCACAAGTACTTCAATATACTTGAACGATAATGCTTTCTTCAATGTGTTCACATTGATCAAGAAGGCGGAGAAAAATATGATCGAAACGAAGGGGAGATATTTCAAACAGAAAGGTGTTGCTGCAACACTTACGCCTCAATTGAAATAATATCAGGTTGGATATTCTCTGACTAAATGCCTTTGGTGTAGTTTTTTACTACACTTGATCCTGTTCGGCCGCGGAAAGCATCGACGGTGAATCGACCCATAGCTGGTTGGTGGTTTTTCGCCCTACCCCTCAGAAATGATGGAGTGAAAGTCACTTGGGATGATTTTCCATTCCCAATATATTGGAAAGTCATAAAATTCCATGGTTCCAGTCACCCCCAACCAGATACCACCCCATACTACACTTCAATAAAACAACTCGACAGCTCGACGAACGTAGATATATGGGGTTGTCTGAAAATAGCCTACCCCATTCCCTCGGCTGCCTAATCACCATTTTCCCGATAAACATTGGCACATTAGGGTATACGTCATTTTCAGATATGCCCATTCTGAAAAGTAAAGCCTCCTGCTTGCTTATACTATCCGATATATTGGAGATTATCATCATGCATGAACTGGAAATCCCGTTCTCAACCGACCAGTATTATAAAGGTTCAGAGGGTTTTGAACACCTGCTCATATGTGCCATGGGCAAAACATGATAGCTATGGTTTATGGTCATCCCATCACAATCTAGACATGTTCTGGCTAATCACATTGGATTGATGACATTTGATGACCATGATCTCTTGTGGAAAACCCATGTTCTGGCAATGGCTCATAAATAGTTTGATTCAACATTTATGGGAAAAAAACAACTAAAAACTAGTCCATCCATGTCCATCCACTGGTATGTTCCTGATCTTCGCACAGCAATAATAAACCATCTCCAAATTTGCCATAAATGGTTGCTACAAGCCATCAAAATATAGGTGGTTTATGGCATTGCTTTACTAACATGAATCATAAGGGTTGTAAGATGTTATGTCATGTCATGTCCCATTGTAATATCCACTAACATCTATAAACTCACCAAAAATAAAATCCATACATCCCAAATCACAGTCCAACTATATTCCCAGTTAGTTGGTCCAAATATCGCCCAGTTATAACATGTTATAACAACCATAATTGGTTATTGGTCAATATTCCCGGTGACATTTCCTGTGATATTCCCAATTTGGGTTATTTTCCCAGTTATATATTCCAAGCTATATAGTTGGTTATATTGGAAGGTTATATTCCCAGTTGTAGAGTTGGTGATATTCCCAGTTATTCCCAGTTATATATGCCCAGTTATATAGTTGGTTAAGGTATGTTGATGTTGGTTAATCTATGTTAATGTTGGTTAATGTTGCTTAGTTAATCCCAGTTGTAATATGTTGTATTGAAAACACCCTCTGGTAATGACTAACATAACTATGGAAAATCACCATAGAAATATATAGAAATAGTGGATTTCCCCATGAAACATGGTGATTTTCCATAGTTATGTTAGTTTACCAGAGGGTAAGTTGCTTCTATTCCAATATCACCGGCCCCACCGTCCACCACGACCGTTGCGAAGGGACGGCACCTGCTGCGGATCCAGGTGACGCCACAGCGCCGTGCGCAGCTTTCGGGACTGGCGTCGTTGGAGTTCGTTCCAAGGGGGATTGAATTGGATAGAAACACTGATCCATGACCCAGAAATGATAACCACTGGTTTTTCTATCCCTTAAAATGATTATAGATAAAGAATGATAAAGAAACCACTATAACATACTATAACCATAAATGATTAAAACCACTGGTCAATAATTAAAAATAGCATATCTCAGAAATGATAAAGGTATAGAAGATGATCAGTTTACATTCATGATTGAGAAAAACCGTTTCTTAAAATCATCTGTTAATCAGGATCAAAGGAAACAGTGTTTACATTCAGATATGTGATTAAGCCCAAAAAACATGTAAGGTGAAGCTGTAACATCTGGCATTCATTTTCTTGGAAACCAACTCATACACCAAGCCGGCATCCACACAGTCAATTTCAAAGCAAGGATAGTAAAAACACATAGTAAAAACACACAAAAAACTTTGGTTTTTGTAGAATATTGGATTCATTCTGGGTTTTTTGTTGGGGGAATTTGATGTTGGGAATGACATTGGAACTATTAAATAGGCCTCAACCACCCGAAACAGAGCGGATGGTTGGCACCACCAACCATCCACTGAGATGGAAGCATGTCGATATTTGTCGGTTTTCCAAAATGGGGGGACAGTACACCACAATGGATGGCTTGTAATGGAAAATCATGGAAAATCCTATTCAAATGGATGATTTGGGGATCCCCCCACCACTTAGGAACCTCCATATCTGTCTTATGCTTCCATTCACCACAGGAGCTCCTTCCAGTTCTTCCTCTTTTTACCATCTGACAACATCCTCAACAGCTCGCTGCTGGACGTGAACGTCTCGCGCTCTAGTGCTATTCTGGCGGTATTCTGGTGGTCTCAGTAGCTGTTGCAGCCAATTCCAGGGTTCAATACAACATCTTTGACACTCGAAGGTTTTTCCATCATGATGCACATAGTGTTCAAACATGTTCAAACAGCGTCATTCCCCTTAGAACTCCTTGGATACACAGGAAGTGAAATGCTCCAGGGCGCTTCTGCGCAAGCAGTCACTCGCTTGCAACTCGATCCTATCGGCAACGACTCATGGAGAAACCAATCAATGTGTGTAAATGTGCGAAGAGACCGCTAGATTGATGAGTTGGCTTTCGAGGTCAACGATTGGATCTATTGTCCATATATCTAAGATCTATATTTAGTCTCTATATAGTCTGTATATTGTTATATATATAGATACTGTAATATATGATAATATAGATAGTGTCAATTACAAACTTACCAAGCAACTTTTAGCTGTGGGGGTCCCTACGCGGCGAACAGTGGGCGCCATTCTCGGCTCAAAGTTCAAAGAGCGATCGTGCCAGGACCCAGTAGCGACCACTGCTCTGTTCCTGCAAGGGCCTCGGTCGTGACGTCGTGGGCTGGAGATGGCTGGAGATAGATATGGAAGCCATGGTCCATTTAGTTGCACAATCGAGCAAAGAAAAATTGTTTGGCATAGCTATACTACATTAACTACCAGAGGGTATAGGATATGTGTGGGAAAATGGATTGCCGAATCAAAGCTGCTGCAAATTAAGGGTGACTTGCTGAAAATGTATGCATAATTGTAATTCCGAAGTGTCAGTTTATGTCTATATAGTGATCACACACATACATACATATTGTAATCTAACATTGAACCACCGCCAGTGGCCAGCAATAAATTAGAAAATAATGTATTGACAATGCTATTGAACAGGTAATTATTGTTGACTTTTATCATATTTTACATATGTCCCATGGACCAACTGGTGCTCATAAATAAGACCCCAGAAGTCACTGAATGGGTAGCCGCTGGGCATGAGCCAGCCAGTTGCACCCGTCTAGCATTGACCTTCCCATAGACATACAGTAGCAATAGAAGCAATTCCATTTACATTCAATTCCAATCCAATTCCTTACAATTTTCAATTATATATATATATAATCAACATGAATGTTTAATTGTCGCAGGATGGGGGAAGAGTTACCCAAAGACTCCTGATGGTTTTTCTATCAATTCCAAATCCTTTTTTACCAGAGGGTACAAAGTGGTCTCCACAGTACAAACTGATTTACTAACCCATCTAATTCAAATACATCCTGCTACATCTACCGTAAAACAAACTTAGCCACCATCAATCAGTATAAATCCCCATGTTTGTTGGTTAAATGATGTTTCATCCCCATTTATAGTGTGGTAAAAAAATGTTTTTGTTGGTTAAATCATGTTAAAACCAAGTTTTTAGTGGTAAAACCCTCCCTTTTTGTTAATTGAATCATCAATGTTACCTCACCATGCTGTTGGAAAACGGCCGAGGCGCTCGAAGTCAGCTCGGTAGCCTGTCTCCTCGGCCAGCTGCTTGCTCGCCTGGCTGAACGGGATGAACATCACAGTGTCACTGAAGTTCGGAAGCATTTTTTTGGCTTGTAGACATAGCAGTAGACATGTGTGCAGATGTTTGCATAGCAGTTTATTACTGTATATAATTTTAGCTGAATAATGATAATGAATGATAATTCATAAGAATTCACCAGAAGTGAAGGTGATTTGGGGATGCCCTTTTCAATTTATCTGAAGATGATGGACATCACTGAAACTTCAAACACAGGGGCGCTGGCGCAACACCGGTTGAATGTGACCATGATGGTTGCAATGATTTGGAGGATAAACAACACTAAACCGTCATTGAAATCAATTTTCCCCAGCAGAACACTTAAGCATTGTCCACATTGTATGCCCGCAGCACCATGGCCTGGTTTTATAGATCAACATAGCAGCACCATGGTTTCAGAAATGGCATGATCCCATCTATTATCCCCCTCGGGCGCCAGAGGCTCGGCCTGGAGGATGAGCGTCGCCGCTTCACTTTGCACCTTCGAGCCGTGTGACCCGTGTGACCCGTGTGACCCGTGTGACCCGTGTGACCTTTCCCAGGAACTAAGTTGAAAAATTATAGTTTATATATGTTTATATGATAATACTATCATATACTATCAACATAATCATGGTTTGATATTACTGTTATCAATATACTAGTTTGATGGTCAGCTCAGAATAATATGAGTATGTTGAGTAATTAATGGTAATGCAAAGGAATCTGACTTTAGAATTAGAGTATACGGATAATCTTAATAATCATCGCTACTACTGATTGTATAATTGTATAAGTAATGAAACACTGATATTAGCGTCGACGATTGTATCATATCCCCATTACATATAATGTGGTAAACCAATGAAGGTTTATTTTTTATTTTATTAAAAAAAAAAACTAAGTGATATTGAACCCCAATAAACCAACTTAAAATATACAGTGTGGTAAACAATCCCCAATGAAGCTTTACTGGTTGGTGGTATACCTACCACTCTGAAAAATATGAAAGTCAGTTGGGATCTGTTTATTCCCGTTATATGGAAAAATAAAAATGGTCCAAACCACCAACCAGATATCTTATTAACCATTATTAACCACCATTAAACACCATTATTCACAAAATTATGATGATGTTTCTTATTGAGTATACCCCTAGCAATGGCTTGATGCGAAATGAACCCCTTTGGTGGTTGCTTAATGGGATGGTTTATGGCATTTCGTGAATCCAATTGGTTGACATTTCCATGAAATATATCCAATGATATGTCCATTAAATCACCATTAAACCATGGTGGTTATGTAAATCCCACATATATACATATATATATAATATTAATATACATTATATATGTATATATATATACACATGTAATGAGTCATGACATGTCATGATTTTCCATTGAATCCCATTAACACCATCATTCTAGCACCATTTTTGTTGCTTACCTCGAGGCTAGCCCCACCCCTCCAAGTGCCGCCGCACCTTCGGTTTGGTGATCAAGGTCTTGGGAAGCGGAGGCAGCGGCACGTCCGACGGCTGTGCGGGGAAAAAAACACAACGTAAAACCAAGAATTTCTGGTATATTTATGGACTAAACCAAGATTTTCTGGTATATTTGTGGGATTTTTCGACTAGATTCACTAGATTTATGGTGATTCATTGAGCCGTGTCAGCTCAAAGTTGATGCGTGGCCTCCGGGCCTCCCAGCCCAGGAAACCGTGAAGTGGTGGGGGCTCTTATTGGGGTGTAGCCTTAACCAATTCCTGGCGTAGTTCTTTTGTTGATTTGGTTCCATTTTGCTCCTTCCAACTACACTTGGATTGGCAGACATGTTCTCTTTCTTTGGTTTGATTTCGGCCTGGTCGGCCCTTCTCCTCCTCTGGAGCCCTTGTGCCGTTGCAATGGCATCTCATCAACCTGGACTGGCGAAAAGATGTCGCTGGGAAACATCTGGCGAGAAGATTGGCATGGAATTGTCAGATAAATGTGAGCTTGCCCTGCAGGATGGCTCTTCCATCCATTCTTTGCAGATGATTTCCAGCGATACTCTCAACCCAGCAGCCAAAGGGATTGTCTTTGTCACCATGACCTCTATGCGGAAACTTCTGAAGTTGGAAACAACCAATCCGTGTGTTGCCATTGTGAAGGGCTTCCAAATCCAGCAGCTGATTAAGTGGGGATTTGAGAAGACAAAGCTTCAGCAGGCCATTTTGGTGCTGAAAGATTCCTGCACCATGGTTGTTGAGCCTAGAGCCGTGACCTTGGTGAATTTGTGTGACGACCCCGCTTGCTTCATCTTCAAGAATGAAGAAGGCTGTGAGATCACAGTTCCTGATCTGCAATCAGTTCATGTCATCTTCGAGATTCGGAAGGCAACGACCTCAGATGATTTCTGGCGAGCTTTCTCTGATTCCTCTGCTTTCTCTAGATACACGTCCCAGATCATTGAGAAAGAAGACCCTGAAGGTGAGACAACATTCTTCCCCACGGTGCCCAGAGAAGGATATGTCTTCAGGCGGGCCCTCATACCAGCCCACATTCGTGATCAAGTGTATGCGCATTCTGGCTTCAAAGGGATTACAGTGAAGTCTCTCCGGCAGACCAATTCACCACATGAAGATGGCTTGGAACTGATTAGGGTCCCTGAAACAGGGAAATCTCTTCACGAAATCTGGCACCAGGGACACACGAAGACTGGATGGCTAGGAGCCTTCTCCTCAGCAAAGGCAACTTACATCAGAAGCACAGATGCCAAATTGTCCGAGATGCGAGCGTTTTGGCTCCCTGATGACCCGAGATGGACTGCCAACAATCGAGACTTGAAGCTGACCAAGTTCTTCAAAGTCCAAGGGTTCGTTGTGGGGATACAGGCGAACGACGCTACCAAGATCATGCATGAGAAAGGATGGAACATGGTCGTGCTTCGAACCTTTCAGAACGCCGAATTGTCAACCCTGGTAGTTGGATCAAATTCAGATCCGCCACAATTGCGATTCACTACCAATTTGGGATCCTTGCTCATCACACCCCTAGAAGCACAGGATCGCGGACAGATTGCTAGGCAGAAGTTTGCGAAAGATCAGAGTCTTGCCAAGGCAGGCACTGCCGAAAAGAAGGGTGACACTACCCCCTCAACGGCATCATCAAGTTCCAATCTCGCAGCGGGTGATCCTTGGGCATCTGCAGCCCATGCCAACACAAGTAATCGGATTGATGCTATGGAAAAGAAGTTTGTGACCCTCAGCGCGCAGGTAGAAAAGCTGGAAAAGGGCCAAGAAACCACGAAAGAGCAGATTAGCACCTTGAAAGCCAGCCAGGATTCGGGATTTAAACAACTTCTTGATGCCATTGCTGATCTGAAGCTTTCGAAACCAGGTGAGTCTTTGAGCTCAACCCCGGTTCCATCCCCAGCGCCAAAGGTGGCAAAGTATCATTAAACTTCAGTTTCCCTGAATGTTTTTCTCCGTGTTTGCTACTTTTTGGTGAGATGGTTCTGGGCTTTCTTTGTGGGTTGCAGGGCGTCTCACTCGCCGGGGTGGTTGCTTTGGCTCCTTTCTATTGTGTTCTCATTAACTATATGTACCGGTTTGGGACCCTCTGCTGTAAGATACCACCCCGAAAATCTGAACAAGGGCGTTATGCCAGGAAACGCCGCAGTTTTGCCAGAAGAATGTTAGCCAGAAGCGCTCTCAGTGTCTTGCTCATTCAATCTTTTGTAATTCAACCATTCGCGACTCGACAAGCATGCGGCTCTGGCCGTATATTTTTTTGCTGTCATGCCTGCTCTTTCAGTTTTTCACCTGGGCGCAGGGCTTGCCAGCCCCCGCCAAATCTGAACGAGAACAGGACGACACAATTTTGTCGTTTGATGCAGCTCACATCCTTCATGACAAGTTTGTTCTATTTCGCTCATTTGTTTTCCCCATGTAAAGGTTACCCTGGTGAAGGGCCAATGCAGATTGCTACATTAAATGTCACATCATTGCCCAAAAGGCTTGATACAGTCCTTAACTTTGCGAACTCGTGCCCTGATTTGGGTTGCCTCATTCTTCAAGAAACACGAATACCTGCCAGCCGGGTCAATTCTTTGACACTTCGGGCCAGAAATGCTGGGTGGGACCTTTTAGTTGGACATCAACCCCCAATCAGAGCGATTAAGTCTGATAAGGCTTCTTTACGCCAATCATGGGGAGGCCTGGCTGCTTTGGTTCCTCGTGACCACCCAGCACGGCTGTTGTCATTTCAATCTGGGTGGAGCCATCTCGAAAGGGTATGTATGCCACTATGGATTCCTTCTGATGATGGGAGATCAGGATTTGTTGTGTTAAATTGCTACCTACCAAGCGGTCAATCTGTAATTGATGAGCGTGAAACTTTGCTGTCGGATATTTTCAGTTTTGCTTCCATTTTTGACACATCCCCCACAGTAGTTGGAGGTGATCTCCAATGTGCTCCGGAGGATTCCAGTGCACTTACGCAAGTATTGGCTTCCAATCGGTGGTCAGATTTTTATGCTGATTGTTGCAGATCCAGGAACTTAGAGCCCGAGGCCACCTACTCAGGAAATGGGTGGGCGTCAGGTTTTCGGGGTTTGAGAAAAACTCGAATCGACCATCTCTTTTTGAACGACTTGGCAAGATCAGCGGCAAAAGAAGCAAGCATCTTTCGAGGTCCAGTTGCGCCTGGTCACTGTCCAGTCGTTATAAGATTAGAGTGCCAGGTTTTCCATGAGATGGTTTTTGGGCTTAAACAACACCCTCAGTGGAACCTTCCCCCCAAATCTTGTTCTCAAGAAGAATGGGATGAAAGGGATGCAATTTGCCACCCGATCCTAACAAAGTATATTCCTTCGTTTGTTCGGGCAGCTGAAGAGGGTGACCCCCAAACTCTCTGGGATAGTTTGACCCGTATGATGCACGAGATGCTAAACTGTATAACTGGCCAGTTCATTCAGTCACGTAGGGGTGATATTCCGGTTTTCGAACAAAAGCCATTCCTTCCACCACCGTGTAAGCAAAATCAATATCAACAAGTTTCTTTAAAGATTCGTAAGCAATTGCATGAATTGTCCAAGAAAAACCAGCAGAGACATGAAGATAATCCTGTTTGGATGACTCACCTAAAGAGGACTTTGATTAATACCTCCAAGGGTTTGGGGACTTTAGGGTGCACGGTTCCTACACAAGGGTTCTCCCAACAACAAGTCACTGAATTCCTTAGTGCTGCTAACCAGGCATTGACAACATGTGATCTCGACAAACAAATGCAGGACTCCACTAAAGCCATCCATGAGTGGAAAGATCGACTTAGGATTTCCAATTCTGCGGATAAGAGGGAAGTTTTTCGATGGTTAAAAGGGGTTACCCCTTCGCACCCCAAAACACTTGTTCGCCCTGATGGATCCTTAACTGGGAGCCCTAATGAGATTCTTTCCCTCCTGAAAGATCATGCTGAAAAGATTTATAACCATCATCGGAATACCAATGAAGATGCACTTTTCGCACAATTTGTAAATATGTTTCAGGATGAAATCAACAGTTTGAAGAATCCAACTGAACTTCCCCCTTTTGATGCGGTTAACATGTGGAAACTTTTCCAAAAAAAAACCGCCAATAAAGCCACGGGTTTGGATGGATGGAAGATTAAGGAAATTCAAGTATTGCCACCGTGCGCATGGAAGGCCATCAAGCTTTTCTTCACTACTGTTGAAGCTAGTGGGAAGTGGCCCAAATCATTTCATTTGGTTTCCATTACTGCCATCCCCAAAACCCATGAATGGACCCCTGAATCTACCCGGGCCATTGGAATTACGTCAATTTTCTATTCCTTCTGGGCATCTGTCCGCTTCAAACAATTGGCGCCATGGTTGGGAAATTTGGCCCCCCCTTCACTCGCGGGCGGATTGCCCCATAGATCGGCTACCCCTTCAGAAATCGAATTATCTAGCCACTTGTTTGATTCGGACGAAGCCCCTGACAACACTTCTATCGTTATATTTATTGATCGTTGGAAATGTTTCGACCTGTTGCTGCCAAAATTTTGTATTCAACTCGGATCCACTCTAGGATTACCATCTCATATATGCCAACCGCTTACAGACTTCTATAACCATCAGGTCAAATTCTTCAAGCTCAATAACGCTTACGGAAATCAGGTCCTCCATTCCAACGGGGTCGTGCAGGGTTGCGCCTTTAGTGTTTTGTTTGCTAACCTGATTTTCTCTGTTTTTGCGAAAAGGATTGAGCAGTTTCCAGGGGTAACCTTCTCTGCGTTCATTGACGATACAAAGCTATGGGCTAGTAAGCAAGACCTACCTGAGCTCATCAAAGCAACCACAGTTCTCGAAGCTTTTGACCAGGCTATTGGCCAAGTTCAAAACAATGCTAAGTCTGCGCTCCTAACCAAAAAGGCGAAAGACGCCGACAGATTTCTCCTCCAAGTAGGCAAACAGATTCCCCACAGAAAGCGTGTCAAGTCTTTAGGGTTTCAACAAGCAGTGACGACAAAGGGACTTGCTAGAGCCGTTGACCTGAAAACGAAAGCAGCTGCTGCAACCATTCGGAAAATGGGCAAGCTTCCATTTCCAGCCAAACTCAAATCAGGATATATTAAAACTGCAGGTCATAGCCGATGGTTATATGGGTCTGAAGTTGCCCCCCCGAATAAGAAAGCATTTAATTATTTGAGGACAGCTGTTGTCAATACTGTTTTCCCAAAGAAAAACCGGATGAGATGCCCTTTGTTGACCATGTCTACATGGGATAATGTTTGGGTTGATCCTTGGGCTATTTGGGTTAGACATGTCTTGCTCACATATAGAAAGTTACACCGCCGTCAGCCCGACTTGGTGGCAAAAGTTTTTCGTCAAGCCCGACAGATCAAACCTTATGCCATTCGAACTTCCTCTGGCGCTCCAGCGGTTCTGGCCGCTGTCGTTCGGGAATTGGAATGGGAATGGGCCGACGGTTTGTCCTTCAAACGGCCGGGCGATACAGACTTCAAACTCCTCTATGGCAGCAACAAATTTTTCGACGATGACTTGGAACGATCCGTCAGGCGTTCACTTTTCCGTAGATCCCCAATAAGGCATGACAACTTAGGCGACTCGCGGGACGGTGTGATTAATATGTTCGCGACGCGATTTTTCCTCGACAACGACTTCTCCACTGTAGTACCTGCACCTGGCTTAGTAGAACAACTGCGGAATTTACCAGTCAAACTTGACCATGCCCAAAATATCATCCAAAATTTCTTAGCCGGATCAATTTTTGACGGGCCCCGTAAATTTAAAGCAGGCCTGGTAAATTCCCGAAAATGCGAACATTGCGATGCAGACGATGATCTCTTGCATATGTCCAAACATTGTCCAACGAATCCGCCGCCGGAAGTTTCAGTGCAAATGCCGGATACGTCATGGACCATGGGTGTTCTATGGGAAAGCGAGCGTGACACACAGTTCCGTTTACAACAAGACCAACCATTCCAATTTGGCGATTTACCTCCAAAACATGTACTCCAACCGGGCGACCGAATTTTTACTGATGGCAGTTTTATTCGCTCAAAGTCGGGTAGACTAGAGTCGGCAGCTTGCTCAGTATATATTCCGCAAATATTGCAGCTGGCAAGACCCCTCCCAGGGCTCGACCAAAGTTCACAAAGAGCCGAGCTGGGAGCGATCTTGCTGGCGTTAAAGGTAACAGACGGAGACGCCCATATTTTTACCGATTGTGCAACCATAGTCAAAGGATTTCGTGAACAAAGTCGTAATGCACAAGGCTTTTCATCTTTGCGTTCTTGGGACAATTTTGACTTGTGGACACTCATAGCCGCTGAAACAAGTTTAAACCATCGAACAGTACATGTATCCAAAGTATCAGCTCATGGACGTGACCCAAGTCAAGACCCTGGTTTAACTGAAGGCAATGAAAAAGCAGACGCATTAGCTAAGAGTTTATGCCAACGACAGTTCCAACAACATTCTGATCATAGCGTGTGTGATGTCAACTGTATTCTAGCTGTGCAAATTCATTTGATCAAGTCCTTTGTGAATAGGAACTTGTTAACCCAGCCACCGGATCATGATCAGATTGTTGACCGCGCTCTATCTACACTTAAAGTCGCCACAGCTCGTAAGTGCACTTGCCCACCAAGCCGTAGGATAAGGGGCAAAGCTCCTGCTCCTGTTTTGTGCCGTGGAACTTGTCTAACTACATTGGTAGTAGGGGAGTTGGAGCGATGTTTCCTGAACTTGCTCAACTCTGGCGCTTTCGTTCCCAATCGCATTTGGGATGCGCTCAAACAACAATATCCCAAATTCAATCAATGGGTGACACATCGAACCGCAGTTGTCCAAGGGTTAGATGTCTCAAATTCACCTGTACCTAAAGCTGTTAGCTCTCCGCATTGCGCTGATGCCATTCACCGGTTTATGCGCGAAGCGTATTGGTGCAGTGGAACATCGCCAATCACTGCTTTTACCCCGTGGTCCATTGTTTTGATTGACTTTATCTCAAGGTTGGGTTTTGTTTCTCCCCTTTTTAACCAAGATATGGGCTTTGGACGACTAATACATCGATGTCATCGCTACCTTAAAGATTTAATCTCTGAGGCATTGCCGGGCATTGACACTTCAGTTATCAACAATACGTTAGGCTCTTCCTTTGGGTTACGGTGTCAGGTAGCTCTAGGCATTCACCTGGTCCCTGTCAATCCCACCAATGTCTGGTCAATATATGTACAAGCTTGCCTCTATTGCTCCAGCTCTTTTCTTGACGGCAAGAAATTCCGCTCTAGCTGGAAACCAGATTGGGGGTGCTTTGACACCCGGATGTGAGCTGCTGTCGCGAATTGCACGCTTTTGTTAGTTTCTGTCTGAGTGCCTGTAAGGCTTTAAATTGCAATGGGAAAAAAATTATGGTGATTCATTGGAATTGGTGATATTTGATGGGGATTCAGCAATACTTAGACCCTGCAAATACCCATCAAAAAGGGTAACAGTTCCAAAATGATGAGTATATCAGCCGCTAGTCCATGTCTCTAGCTACCTGGAGGGTCCTGGTACACATTCTCTTGTGAGGGAAACATGTTTCAACCCATACCGGTGGGAGGTTGAATGCCAATCTAGCGGGAATTTCTCATCTTCTTTTTCCAATTGATATGGGGTTCCTGGATGCTAAAGGTCTTTAACAACCAACTCGTCACCTCGTCTATCATACCAAACTACGCAGTCTGGTCGTTCGGTACATTTGTCAAAACCCTCGTATGCTGGTGTTCACAACGAAACAGCAGGTGCTCATGGAGGTTCATGATTTTTCCCAATAGGTATTGACACATACGGCATATCATACTCCCCAGGCATGGGCATTACTGTAATCCCGTATCATATTCATACCTGTAGATGTCCGTATTCTTGGATACTCTACATAAGATATACACAGTCTGTAGCTGGATAGTCCATTTTGATTTGAGATGTGCAATTTGAATGGCTACTGGCTTGCCCTATTCATTCTTCCAGAATAGATCACTTAAATCCCCACTTTATTATTATTTAGCCAATAGACCTTAATTTACCTACCATTACCTACTTAGATGGGCCGCATAGATACTTACCCCTCCCAAATCAACATCTGCCATGAGGTTGGAAGATTGGATTCCACCAAGAAATGAGTGGATTTTACCTACCTCCCATTCCCTCAATGGGAATCCTTTACATGCTTAACTGCTTCATCTGTAGCTTCCACTCCAATATATATATATATATATGTATATATATATACATATATATATATATGTATATATATATATGTGTGTACATATATATATATATATATGTCTATATATATATATGTGTAAATATATATATATACATGTCTATATATATATACATATCAGGGCCAGGCCTTCCCACTTTTGATAGTTATGTTCGTTAGTTTATAAACCCCATGAACTATAGATACAAACTTTTCTATCCCATATAGTTACAACCTTTTCTATCCCATGTGTATTAATATATAACAATATGATGATATTATATACAATGCATATACCCAACTTAGTTCACCCACACATCTCGCTCCCCAGACACCGAGGAACCATGACACGCAGCACCCGTTTGTCCATGAAGAAGGAGGCCAGGTCCTGGATGTCCATCCTAACCTGGCAGCTGAAGCATCCCCACAGTACCATCACCATTTTTATAGGTGGGATTCGGTTACCATTTGTGTTAGCCAATGGCTGGTAAGCCAATGGCATTATTAACTCACCACATTTGATGGTAAATCCATGGCTGGTAAATCCAAAGATATTGACGATTTGATGGTTAACCATTGGTAAATCTATGGAAAACATCTAGACAACATAAATCCGGTAAATCTATGGTAAGTCATCACTTCACCATAGATTTGGATGGTGAATCTATGGTAAAATCTATGGTAAAATCTATGGTAAAATCTATGGTAAAATCTATGGTAAATCTATGGTAAGTCTTGCATCATATTGACGTCATCATGTGGGTTTCCCACAAAATTCGCAGCTCGATTTTCAAAAGTCGATACCCATAGCTCCGACCCGTGGATACTCAAAAACCACGGTATTTGAGACTTAAAACTTAAACCACCTTATGTAAACGTATATAATTGGATATATTTTGGAAATATATATATATATATAGGGAATGTATATATATATATACAATATATATATATTATATATATATATATAGTATTTTATCCCTAGATATTTTTTGGAGTGACATCATGTATCCCAACTTCGCCACCATAGTTATGCCCAGACCCGGCACCTCGGTGAGCCCCAAGCCCTGGCAGTTCGGCCCAATGAAGGCACCCAACTCGGACGCGCGGACGCGCGGACGCGATGCAGATGTTGCGGTGTATCTTTTTGGTGAGTAAACCAGCTATATATATATATGCTATATGGGTATGGATCAATACCTATTAATACCATTTTTAGGGGGATGAACATCCATTTACCAGCTATTTTGATGTTCACCAGGGGTACAAGGTTTTGACACACTGCCATATGTTTAATGACTAAACTGACTAAACCAAGAAAAACATCTTAAGTTTTTTTTACAGTAAGTATAGAAACGATCACGTTGTGTAATGAGTAATGTGGTTTTTGGGTCCTGTTTTGTATCTACCCAAGTTTCGTCCTTGGAGGTGCACAGTTAGTAAGGCAATGATAAGTGCCACAGTTATGATTGACGCTGGGACCCTACTGGGACCCTACTGGGACCCTACTGGGACCCTACTGGGACCCTACTGGGACCCTACTGGGACCCTTCCTACACTGCTTACCCTACTTACCCTAATTACCCTACTTATAACATCTTATAACTGGGATTGGAACCTACTTGCGAACTGGGGTGAACCACCGAGTAGTAAACCATCATTTTTTTGGTACTGGTATTGTAGTATCTACTGGCAATGTGGTAGCGGTGTGTTGCAGTCAACCATCTTCAGCAGTTCGGAGGATGGGGTTGATGATTTACCCGTACGGCCCATGATTTGGTTCACTAGAACATATTGGATATGATTGGTATGTACCAATGAAAACTATATTCTTGCGCAAACCTCTTGTTGAAGAAAAAATGGATTGAAGCCGAGTCCAATTGATTTGTTGTTTAAACAAAACTAAATCATATAAAGAAGTTGGTAATGTATCTCCTCAGATCCGACTATGGGGTACCCAAATTAACCCAATCATTATTGTCATTATACCCAAACAACCCAATTTTGATGCTGCTTACAAGGTATCCTCCTTTGGATTTGCAGTTCAGGTGCGGTTAGATACTGAGCAATAAGCAATTCCCCCACCCTCTGGATAAAGCACCTCTGGTTGCCGCAAAATCAACGTGATTTCAGCAAAAATCTGGGCAAACCAACATTTACGCCACATGTTGCATCTATCACTAGATTGGTTTTCTTGAGAAAACCTGGAATCTGGAAACCATAGGTTTTTACCATCCAATTTCTGTTTCCTGCAGATATCTCCCAATTCCACCCTGACAGCTGGGAGGTCCAACGCAAAGCCTGCTCCTGAAAGAGTTGGGAGTGGAGGGCTGCATTTTTCCGTGTTTGGCGTTTGGAGTGTTTCACCATGGCCACTTAGAGTTTCCAGATGTGTGGGGTTTCACCATGGATTTATGAGGTTTCTGTATGATTGGACCCGATCTATCCATTCTATCCAGATTTCCTGAAGAAATCTCCCTGAATTTCAAGTGGCACTCCTTGGGTGGCTTGTCATTTGCCGTTTTTTGATGTCGTTTGAGTGCACACGTCTTAAGCAGAAAACGGACATGTATGGCCGGTACAACTGCTTTGCGGGTTTAGTTTAAATCATACTATCTGACTGTTTCCAGAAATGGTTGGCTACAACATCAGCAAATTGGATATGATGGTGTCATGGTGTCACAAAAATACTGCATTTATGTGTAAATAAATCATATTTGATTTTGGTATGATCCAAAAACATCCCCAAGACCCAGCAATTCTTGACCCAAAGCCCAGATATCTTTTTTATTTGCTAGTTTCATCCCCTCAATGTATTGGCAATGTTATTGGTTATACCGCCAACATCACAAGTCTAGACAGGTTATGACCCGTTACAATATCCATATCTTTCGTCTAGTATCCCAACGTTTGATGTTTGAATCCCCGGTGTTTCTCGTGAAATCCCAACGTTTCCCTCCGGACGCGTCCGGACCAATGGTTCACCGTTGAGCTTCAGACTTGCCAGTGAAGTAGGCAGTGGAACGGAAGGGTAGCACCTCGACCAGCGCCGGTGGCTTGAGGATGGTGGTTTCGTGTGGTTTCCACAGTCATGGGGGTACCCCAATTTATGGATGGTTTATAATGAGAAATCCCATCTATGAATGGATGATGACTGGGGGTACCCCCATGGATTGGAAACCTCCAAATGTATTATATATATATAATATATATATATATATAAGAATCACATATCTTACTAGAATGATATAGAATGATAACTATTAACTATTATATATTGCCATTACTATTAACCACATCAAAGTTCTTACCATGTTATCATCGCAATCTGGGCGATTTCATATCATCATTGACCCAACACAGGGGGGGGGAGCACAAAACGGCGGCCTTCTGCTCCAGGATCTTTCTTTCCTGCGGATCTGCTTTGGATTGCGGAACCAAACCTCTATTGGGGATGGTTTATAGTGGGTTTAAAAATGGCTTTACCACATTACACATACTTTTTTATGCGTTGCCTTGGTCGAAGAATCTATAGACATGCTCCGTGCTCTGGGAACAACGGTTGATATAGTGGACCAAATACATTTTGTAATTTTGGGGTACGCCGCGGTTCAAATATGTCGGGCTTCCAGTCCCCATGTTTATAAAGCATTATATAGGAAAATATGTGCCAATATGTGCCAATCATTGGCATGTTTCGTCGCCATGTTTGATCACCGGATATCCATTCACTTGACCCACACAGGTGATTCGTCATCAAAATCCAAGCCCAAATACCGTAGCCATCGCATGCCATCACGTCCTCTTCTGAAGCCAAAGTCAGCCATTGCTGCGCAATTTGCTCCCTTTCCTGTCGTTGTGAGGCAAGTCACGTGGAGTCAGGTCCAATGGCAATAGGCAAACCTCAAGTTGAGACTCGTCACTTGCAAAATAGGAGGATGTGCCAGTGCCATGTCATATCGGGGGTTCCTAAAACATGGGTCCCAAACCATTATGGTGTTCCCATTGACAATGAAAAATCTTGGATGATTTTGGGGTTCCCGATTTTACGTTCCCAAAGCAATGGCTTCGACTGAATGCTTCTCATCCTCAGACTTGCATGGTTGTCTGCAGGGTCGACCGTCACATACACAGGCGTGTGTATGAACCAAAATTCCAAACCAGATTGAGTGACTCATCATTTCAAGTACTGAACCCACTGTAAACCTTCTAGTAATTCAACCTGGTAATGCAAAATCACCTCTGTTTACTAGCAACATGCATAAATCTGCGATGTGTAATTGCCAGCCATTTATAGATGATTTTCCCGCTAAAACAGAATGTCTACAGGAACTCACCATTTCTGATAGGTACCATTACATTTCGTACAGGCGGCCAAATCCATCCCGACCCTTCCGTCACCTGATTGTCCACGAAGCGTATCTCATACTCTTCGCCTCCACCTGCGGAGCTGTGGAAACCGCAGCCTGCGCAGCCCCTATATCACTCACTCAACACTCAGTTTATCTTAAACAGGGGTGCTCAACGTTATCAAACCACATACACGATTAAACAATATCAAATATATGTATTTAATTGCTAAGTTTTCTTCAATTTGACGATTTTTGTTGACTACTTGCCACAGTTCTGATTTCCCGCATACATTATACTTCTGCAAGAGTACACCACAACATGAGGGCAGGTGTTTACCCCAACCAGGTTTAAAGCAGTGAAGATAAGGCACGTTTCAAGGGTGAATGTGGGAGAAATCCCCCATTATAGTCAAGTGATGAGCCGGCTTTTTTGATGTTTTTCTTTTGTATTCCCAGATAAATCACTTTTGGTTTTATATTGTGACACTTTGCTGATTGTTAAAGTACAGCATCCTCGTCGATTTTTCCCTGTTTCTTGCTTGATCCGTTTACTATCCATAACTGTTTGGATATCCTTTGGTTGCTGAAACTCCCACTTTGAGTGGTCGACATGCCTCCTCGCTGGTTGTATAGGGCCATTTGTCCGTTCCTTCGCATCCGACACATCGGATGCTTAAAGAATTACTGATTTCATTGCTTCAAATCCTTGTCAAACCCCATTTTTAGTGATTAAGCTGGTAAATGCCGGAGTTGGTGGGATTGTGATTGTCTTGAATAACATTATGTTTCAAAAATAATTCGGCAATTCACCAAATGTAAACATAAATATATATATATATATATATGTCTGAAATCATGTTTCTGGCTGAGTTATAGCACTTCGCCAGCCAAAGCAAACAAAAAAACTGCCTTGGGGATAATAGTTGCCCTGCATTGCCCTGCTCTCCCTGCAAACCATCGTCCATCGGGACGTCGGCCAGCAACGTCCAAAAACAACTCCGCCAAAATAATTTCAATATTTACAAAATAAACAAGTATAAAACATATTCTTATAGCAACCGCAAAAAATGCTGGTAACATCTCCATGTTTAAAAATACTGATATATAATTTTTCGTCGCGGTGGATTTCCCCCAACATTTCCTATAACAAATATAACATATATATATATATACATACATAAACATATATATATATATACAATACATATATATATATATATATACACATATATATATATATATATATATACAACATGGCATAATTGTTTTCATGGTTTCTCACTGAAATCCATTAAATAAAAAAAACTGTTTCCGCACCTCCTTCGCCCACCTCTGTGGGCGGCGGTGGTAAGTCCACCGTGGCGCCGGCGCGCAAGGGCGCCACGCTGCCGCGCTGCCTAAACAATGGGAAAAAGGCATGAGATAAATATGGATAGTGTAGCATATATGAGAATATAATTAGATATGAGAATATATATATATATATATTGGAATAAATATAGATACTATTCGCATTATTGTATAAATATGAGATAAATATAGATATGATATAAACATAGGATGATATGGTATTAATAGACAATCTAAATGATATAAACATGGATAGTTTTGCAAACTATTGGATGGTATAGTTATATACTATCTATGTCATATAAGGATAATACTATATTGTGGACAATACAGTATTAACTTGTCTGAACGAAAATCGAGGATGACCCTCAATTATAGCCATTTAATGGGGGACATAGTGATTAACCATCAATTTTTGGGGTACCCTATTTCAGACAAACCCATATAGGATAGTTATACTATAGGATAGTATAGCTATAACTTTTGTAGTTATAGCATAGTGATACTACATATGCCATATAGGCAATGGGGATGTACAAAACAAACCAGGTAAGTTATATCCAGAATGAACATACAGAAATCATGGAAAACATTGGACTTATTGGGTTTGTCATGACAATGTTTTAGTGAATCTTATTGATGTCCACGTCATGCAAGGTCCATCGACAAATCCCACCTGCGAAGCGCCAGGGAAGGACCTGCCGCAGTCATACCCCCAACAGGTAGATAAAGAGGTATTCATTTTTTCAGTCCGCTTCGAAGTAGACAAACTCTGGGGAAATACTGGGCTGCCGGGTATTTAAGCTACTCATACTGAGTAGGATTAGGATGACCCACTAAGCAATCAAGTCGGATGTAGAGTGGGGACAAAACTTACCTGACATAAGACACAAACTGCTGACACAGAGACAGACATCATATACACACAAACATATGCCGAAGGCAATTTACAGGACGTCATGTCAACAAACAAAATGAAAATCATTGTTGTGTTCCTTCCTCGTTGCAGTTGGTGACAGGTTGATGATGCCCAAAGCCCTGGTCAAAAGGTTGCAAAGGAGATTCAAAGTGACTCGATCCCTGCGACATGTTCGGCAAGTTCCTACTTGGTGGTTTACAACAGGTTGGGAAGTGAGATAGTTCACCCCAATGGTATCTGAACTAACCCTACTTACCCCACTTATAACAGGGGTTATGAACTTATTACTGGGGTTATAACATGTTATAAACTGTGGGGGTTGACCTACTTATATCAGCCTTATATCTACTTATAAATGGTGTTATATCAACTTACCACCACTGGAGTAAACCAGTAAACCTACCACCTTAAGACACACCTCCAGCACCCAGGGGTCCAGGTGTCCACATGGTCCACGGCCTCCCACGAAGGCCGGCAGCGCCGTCCCCAGCAAGGCCAAACAGCAGAACCACCGGTGCCGTTTCAGGTCCACCATGGCAGGCATCAAGTCACAACGGGCACCCCCCGAACTGGGATAACATAAGAACGACTAATAACTTAACCGTAGAACTCTGGGCTGGTACAAGATGGTCATAATCATAATCTGGTTATAAAATGGTTATAAGTGCTATAATGATACCAAACCCTTTTGCTGGGATGGTTGTGGGCTCTGAATTCCCCTTAAAGCTTCACCAGTGCATACGTTTTGGGAATTGATTAGTGGATGTAGTGGGTAGCAATGACTCTGGATCCGCAACTGGGCCAATCTGGAGTTGTGGCCCAAAGCTGAATGGTTTGAGTGCCAACATATACCAAACCAATCACCTACCATGGAAATCTGTGGGTTGGTTCAAGTGTCTGTGTAGTTCCGGTTCTCCCAGATTCTCCCTGCTTCTGTTTTAAAGCAAAGCTCTGATGTTGAGCCAGCACGAAAGCTCGGCGTGACCAGAGTCTCAAATTCTAGCAACCTCTATATGCAAAAAGCGCTCCCGGCGGCTCCCAACTTTTCACGGGCACTGCGCGGCCCTCATTTGCAATTGCAGCACGGCCATCCCCTCAGCAGGCCATTTTTGGGGATGGCGATGTCCCTTCAACTTCACCATCCTTTTGCCATCATTGGTTCTGCCAGAGTTGTTGAGCACACATCAAGCAACATCTCCAAGTAGGAAACAACCCTGAAATCCTTGACGATTTGTCATGGCTAAATCGCTGAAGCAACTCAGATCGACTGCTGCCGAGTAGCTATCCCTACAAGACCGCCCGACAGAAGCACCTACCACCATTGGCAGTGGGATACGTCTGGCAGTACCACTTCGACTTCTAAATAGGTTTTGAAAAAGTATGTTATTTTGGTACTGGGCAGCCGGTTACATTTTTCTTGGCCCCAATGTCATCCAACAACATCCAACAACATACCCATCTTTGGTCAGGTTCTCGAGTTGAATCTAGCTTGCTCGTCAGCTCATGTTCCCGTTGCTGACATCCCCAGGCGTGTGGTGAAATATTGACTCATCATACACATATCAAAGAAACATTCTCAATGGATTCAGGAATATCAACCTCAAATTTGCACAAGTTGGTTTATCCCTTCATGGTTAATCATCATCTTCCCAAATAAATTTACAATTTCTAGTGTGTTTTTTTTCCACCATCTTCAGACACACCCATTATTCACCCATTCCTATCAAGGTTGAGTCAGACCTGTCTCGCCCTCGGCACCGCTGGATTGTATCCTACTATATATACTTCTACGTGTTTTTTATGATAAGATATTGATATACCATAAAATAAATAAAATACTTACCATGTGTGGTGTTTCAAGTCCCCGTTTTTGCTGGTTCGATCACACTTTGTGTTGGTTACCTACCTATTTTTGCGTGTGAAGTTACCATTCTTGTCGGTTAAGTCCCCCAATTTTTGCGGGTGAAATCCCCGCCTGCCCATGCCCTTGTCCTGGAAGAAGTTCTTCCACGTCCAGGTGCACTGAGCAGGTCTTGGCGACCGCCGCAAAGTGATCTGAACGGCTGGGTGAACGGCTGGGTTGGAGAAACTGGGGATTGGACCAAGAGAAAATGGTATAATTAATGGCAGAAAAAGGGATATTTTTGTGGAATTGTTCATGGGATATCAATGGAAGAGCAATGGACAATTCATGAGATCTTGATACTTTTACATGGAAGATTCATGGATTTACCGATTTACCCTCCGGTCAAATGTAGCACTGGGAATTCCACAACAAAGCGAACTTAGTAGCTGGGAAAATCATCTATAAGCCGGGGTTAAATCATGAATGGATGTATATATATATACACTATAATATAATATATATATACTATAGCCAACACATGCCAATACAATATCGAATAGAACTCCAATAAGGTACCCCGTTCCAAATATCTACAGATCCAATACATTCCACCCAGATCGGTTTTCAGCAGGAGAAATTGGCTCTCAAAGCTGACAGCTGGGAACCGGACAATCATCCCACACACACAAGCTATCGATTACATATCATTGACTATGATGATTACATATGATATATGGATTATCTATGATAGATATTGATGATTACATATGGATTATCTATGATGATTGATATCTATCATAGATTACATATCATTGACTTACTGGTGCTAAACGCAGGGAATGTTCGGGAATGATCCCAGTCATCACTACGGTAGTAATCATCATCCCAGCAACCCCCAGCAACCCATCCATTCCCTACGTTTAGCACCAGTAAGTTGATCATGGTGATATTTCATGATGCCCCGTTCCAAAAACGGATCATCTTCACCTGGGATGAGGAATTCCAGCTGCTTTCGAGGCATCAGCAATCGCAAGGGACAGCTGGGCGCTTTCAGGCCTCACCGCTCTGTTTCAACGGGTAGGACTGGTAGGAGCCGACAAATCCATTGGGGATCCGTATTGTAGAACTGAAGTTGATGGCCTTTCCATGTGTTTTCTCTGTACTCTAAAAATTGTTGTACTCAAATTAGTGTGGTCCTCCAGTTGTGAAATTCCCATGATTTCTGTTGACAATATGTTTTTTGCCGCTGCGATAATCCCCTAGACGGATGTAAGCGTTTGGGTAATCATGCCCAGCAACATGCAAGCTACTACTCGTTTACTTTGGGGATCATCGCAACTGTTCGCCACTCCCTCCTTGTGAAAACCTACATGAGACCTTCAAGAAAGACGTTCAAGGGATTTGCATGGCCCTTTATGGAGCCAGACCAAGTTCTCTTGGTGATTTCTGAGGTATGTCCGGCCCACTAATACTGTTGATCTATGAGTATAGTCAAGAGTCAAGATTTTGTTGCTAAATATCCCCAGTTTGGATTAACAAACCCAAAGTAGCAATCAAGAGGCAAATTATGTTCCTGGTTCACGTCATAAGAACATTCATTCCATTTACAGTCTATAAATGTTTATAATGGGGAGGTTTCCAAAAATGGTGATACCCGAAATGGAGGGTTTATACTGGAAAATAATCCTATTAAAATGGATGATTGTGGGTACCCACCATTTTAGGAAACCCCCCATTTTGGTAGATTGTAAACCCTCAACCGCGGCGCACCACTGGTGCCCTCATCGCTCTGGTCAGACCGATTGGCGCACGGCTGTGGCACCTGAAGCGTGCGGTTTTTGTTTTATGTGGGACGTGCGTGGGATACTTTGAAACAATAAATGGTGCCCTGTAGGTGTAAGGTGCATGATAGTCCCCATTTACTATAGGTATCACTATACATCCTACTTATCTGTTTAACCTACTACATTAAACCGACTTGGAAAAAGACGGAGTCCCCGCCTGGTATTTTTGATCAACATATATAATATATATAATTGGGATTAATTGGGTATATTGATTGACATAGATTAGATTATAGATTGGATATTTGATTGGGGATATCAACCACCAATCGGATTGACAGGGGAATCATTGGTATTGATTGAGAATCGTTTTGAGATTTAGGAGGATGAAATCAATGGGTAATGTGAACGTAGGACTAATAATAAACACCCAGTTCTCCTTTACGGGGATAGCAGTTCATAACAGGAATTGATCGCGGGTAATCACCTAATTCGTCAACAGGGTTGATGTATCCGGGTTGACAATATCAGCACAGACACCATTATACCCCCACATCGGCATACTACCTACTATAGTTAAAATCGCCATAAATTCCAGATGCTTTAGTTTACCTATCCGTAAAAAACAATTCAGGTAAGTAGGGGGCCCCACCTTCGACTGAATAGTTTACCAAATATGTAGAATGCATTTGACAACACAATCATTTTTGCCGGCGATCATCTGGGTTTTAGCAAAAAAACAAGGGGGGTTACATGAGGATGTCCTCCGCAAAAAAAAAACAATGTGAACAGTCACCAACAAACATTGCCATGGATATAAAAAAACGGATCTGCACGTTGGTTGTTTCAGCTATATAGTTATAGTATCCAATGTTGTGCCCATATCCAAGGGCCCCATTCAACCAAGAACCATTCACCATGAAATTGCAAGAGATGAAAGAAACCTTGAATGCCCAACCCTTGAATTTTGTGGTAGTATTTCAACATCACTTCTAAGGCGAGTGGTTAGGGATCATGCAATATGTTTGATAGCACTTGAAACCACAAACATGGGAGAGGTGAGAGGTGTTTCAAAATTAAAAGTGCAGGCCCTGGCAAACCACTGACCATACAAATTTGATCAACATTGTTTTACTACCGTAGAATATTGATTGATCATATTTCAAATTGTTTATTCCGAATATTGGTTTTCATTATCATGATCATGTAAACATATGCAAATTGATATTGTAAGAATATATGTTCATTGTATGTGTATTCATATCTAAGTATCCCTCAAAGGAAATATACACGCTGTGTAAGTATATATATATATATATATTTTTATGAGTGTTATTGAAATTCAAATAAATATGTTATGATATGTTATGCATACAAATTACACATACATATTTTATATGGTTATTTTGAATTATTTTGATGTAAAACAAAAAATGCGTATATATATAGTTACCAAAAATATGCATATTATGCAAATATTCAATATGCATGTGTATGTATGTATATATATATATATACATGTACTTAATATGTATACAAATATGGAAAAAAGAAAAACATGAATTCAAATTCTATTCCGGAGATTCAATCACCATGTGCCATCCCATCATCCATCATCCAGTTCTGCCTCCCGCTTCTTCAGAATGCCATGCGGCGCAGGCGCTGGTGCAGCCGGGGTCCCGTCCGAGCGCCTAGCACTGCGGAATGCAAGAAGAAGGGTCCAAACAATATATGGATTCAATCTGTGTTTTCTTCGGGCATTAATAATAAGAACAGGTGGTTTTGCAATCAGATTCAGGATAGCATCAGAATAAACAAAAATAAATGGACGGACTAAATATGTGCAGAAACCGTTTTTACTTCCATCTTTTGAATTTCCTGGGGACTTTCCATCCAACCAAACCAATTCTGGGATCGTGG